CCCCCCCCCCCCCCCCCTAGGGAAAATAACAGAATAACGTTATTAAATATCCTTGGAGGGGGGGGGGATTGTCTCACTGTATGGTGTTTTATGGAGCGTTTCGCAACCGGGCCCTTGCTACCTGCGCTTTTGCTCGTGTTTTATTTATTTGGGATTTCTGGGGGATATCTAGTGGGAGGAAAAGGCCAAGGGTGTTAGCAGAGTATAGTCACAACAATAATAAATACTTACGACTTGATATTCTGTGTAATATGGTGGCAAGCACCCGTCAGTGTAGACAAGGCTACCATAGGTATAATGATATCGGTAATTTGAGGTTTAGTTCCCAGAGAAAGCTTCCCCAAACAGGTTCAAGATTGGGAATCAAAAATTAACTGGATAGCAGGCATACTCCCCAGTTCCTCATAGGGCAAACGGCTCAAACGGCTTCTTCCCCTTGGTGGTATCCATACAAACGACCAAAAAGCTCAGTTTCCATTCTTTCTGCAGCCAAAGGTCCCTCGCGAATCTCGCCCATTATGTCGGTGCCTGGGGGAAAATCAAACTCGAACGCTGGCTCAGCTGCACCACGAACGTTACCGAGCACTGCTTGCTCGAAATGCCAGCGTAACAAAGCATCTGACACTTTGGCTTCTGACTGGCGACAGACTTCGTGGAGAGTAGACCCATGATATTCCGCCGCGTTCCCTTGAAAGCTGTAAACACGGTAGTTATCATCAGGGTTAACCGCAAACTCATATCCATCCCACATCTGATGAATGTCTGACCGTAGCAAGAGGCCATTGATAGGGGAGTCGATCCCCCTATTATCTGTAATAACATTCGAGAACCCGCAGCTTGTAAATATCATCGATAGGGCAAGAGGAAAGATATGGGCCGCCTCGAAGCCGCGCCATTTACCTAGACTAGCAACAGTATTTACTCTGCCAGTGATGACACAGCGGCCATCTCGCTGCCTAACATCGCGCCTAAAAGCCTCATCCCTACCCGTATCAGAAAGCGAAAGGGTGCGTCGGTGATATTGCTCATCACTCGCGGAGACATCCTGCTCTGGGATAGTTGACGATAGAATGTAGTGGCCAGGCTCAACAACGTCATCTGTCGCAGCCAGAGGAGCCACTGAGCCACGCTGAGATATGTCAAAGCCACCACTTGGCCGAAATGCGACATTGAGTATGTTTATAAGTTGGCGTTTGGTGAGGTTGTTTGCTGCATATAACCCTCCTTGTACGACACCAGGCTGGGACGCAAATTCAACCCAGAGGTTTCGATCCTCCATGCCGAGTATTTGACTTGTTAAAAATCAGGTATGGAGAAGCTGACTTTGGTATTTCGAGCAATCAATAGCTATGTTCAAAGCCTCAGTAATGATACCACCTGTTGCTTGAGCAATCTTTTTGTGGCGTAGCTAGTTAGAAGCTTGTGCGAAAGACCAGAACGAGTCCAAACGTTCGTTAGTTAGTTAACTAGTTACTGACATAACTAGATTGGGCTCGGTGGAAGCGGGCACGTGATGGATAATCGATTCTACCCCTACCTAGCTACTACCTAGTTTATAACCACTAGATAGATATATAGGGAATATATCGGGGTCATTGAGTTAATTGGTTACGGATCTATTTAGTCAAATCCCTGAATCCCCTCTCCGAGAGCCTCGTTTTGATGTCTCACGATATAACTAACTAGTTGCATCCCGCCTGACCCTGTCCTCGCACTCTGAACCACGCTCCTTTTGAGCAATACTGACTGCTATACCACAATCATTCCACCTCTACCTCATTATTCATTATAAAGGCAACCAAATCCCCTAGCATTTCTTTCGAGTACCAATGTCCAAGACCAGCGTATTCAGCCCAGGTAACATCCACTCCGATCATGGAGAGACACCTCCTAGCCTCTCTCCCACAGTCAACGGGAACTTTTTCGTCCTCAGTTCCGTGAGCAAGGAACAATGGAGTTTGTTGAAATGGCGGCTCATGAGACGGAGGCTCTGATAAACTCATTCCAAGATCCTCTGCCAAGGACATGACAGCTCGCACCGGCAGGGATATTTCAACTTCATCCTCCGTCTCTTCTATAAAAGGATTATCATCATCATCCTCTGCTGTATCCACTCCTTGCACAAGATCCTCCATCTGATGCCGAAATGGCAGCCAGCCGCACATACCAATAGCAGCACCTAACGACTCCCCATCCCATAGGAGCAGTGCCACGAGAGAAGCGGCACACCCTTGACTCAGACCTCCGAGAATAACACGTTTTGCATCGCCTCCAAGTAAGGAAATTTCTTCTCTCAATAGCTTGTGGAGAAAGATGGTTGTCGCTCGTAGACTATCCGCCTGGTGGTATTCGCGATCCTGCTTCTCCCGTAGTGTTTTAGAAGGGACGGTATCTGTGCTGAGTGGCCAGTTATCAAACCACTGGTTGATAACACTGCGGTTGTAGGCGATGGCACGACGTCTAGGTGCAGTTGGGAAGATAAATTTAGCATGGGTGAAGGCAGATGCAAGGGTGTGCTCAGCATCTTTGTCGGCCTGGTTGACCTGGTCGAGGTGAGAAGCCGAGGATGATAAGAGAATAGGGCCGAATTTAGCAGCGTTGGAACCCCGGCCATGAAGGAGGATTATGGTGCATCGATGGGAGTCCCGCGGCTGGATGACGAGTGGCTCTGGATAGTCGTAACTCATAGTTGCTGATTGTTGCTTTTCAAGATCGAGGATACAAGTAAGAGTAATCCAGGTGATTGAGAGTACGTTAACTAGGTATTTGTAGCTAGAATATTTGCTTGGCTAGTTAGTTACTTCTTTAAAGTGTGACAACCTAGCAAACAAAGGGCGGCTAAAAAATATTTAAGTGACTAACTGGTAGGGAAACAGGCAGCAAACCAAGTAGCTAACTTGTTTGCTCAAAAATTAGTGAGCCGAATAGCTGGTTAATAAAGATAACTGGAGCACTATGGCACTACAATAAACAACTACATAAGCTGGGAGTAGTTAGGCTAGAATAGATACATATAGTAAAATTCTTGTTGTTCACTCTATGTAAGAGTAACTAGCAACTACTAAATTACAAAGAGGAGCCTTTAATTGAATTCTCCGTTCACACAGACAGGACAACAATTACCTGGATAGTTAACGTGCTAGGGCAGTTCTCTTGATCAATTATAAAGATGTATAAAAGCTTGTTCGAAGATGGAGTACTCAAATGAGCTACTCGACAATCAGGCTGGTATCTCTTCAAGGACTTCATGATGTCTTATAGCCCCGACGTCCCGATCGACATCTTTGTCTGCTACGGAAAACCACGAGATGCACTCTACCCACATTGGATGTTGATGGGCCGTTCGCGAAATGCGGCTCTTGCGACATGGTACCACTCCACCGGCGGGCCGACCCGACATAACTAAACCTTATTCTGTAACAATCCAAGCTGGCAAGCCAGTCGATAGCCCTGGCATACAGTCTCGCGAATACTTGGGCAGCATCGATCCGAAGTTCAGTAAGAAGATCACAGCTGCTGCCCACCTTGTCCCTGCCCAGCAGTGCCAGAAGTACGTTGTGTCCCTTGTTGCGGAGCTAGAGCAGCGCCAACTCCTACCTTCCGGACACGCTGCACGGCTGAACAGAAGAGTCCACATGTCAGCCACCGCTCGGGGGTATGCACAGAAGCATCCAGTGCCACCACCACAGATTAACTCTCTAGGGATGAGCACTGCGCATTCAAGCTCGCCGCGAGGGACACGGCAGATTAAGCCGCCACGGCTCAAAAGTTATTTTTCGTATTAATTAATTTGTGAGATACAACTAATTCTACTATGAACAGGAGTGCAGAATTCTATTGCCACAATTAGTTGAGTAATAATAATAAGCATAGTTTCACGAGGAATACTGCCTACTGTTTAGCGAAATTCTAGTAGACCTTGGACTAACCACTGAAAATCGCCGTATAATAACCGGAGCTGTTGATGCTGTAAAACCTGTGTCGTAACGGCACACCCAGTCTTCTTTTAGTAAAAAAAAAAAAAAAAAAACCAAGAACAAGGAATTTAATAACTAATAATCTAATTCTCTGTTGGGATATTCCACTTTAGCTACGACCCGCACACAATACCTAAGGTATCCTTGGGGCATCAGGCATTTTTGTCTCTTGTGGTCCAACATTCAGCATTCTCTATAAAAGAGACTAGATAATATAGTTAATTATCTAAAGCTTTTTATTTTTTGATAGATTAGTATACTAGGCCTTCTTTTATCAAAATTCATCCACGGAAGGGTATTTAGAAATAACCCCTTAAGGAGCTTTAGGGGTTAAACTCCTCATAGTCTTTGACTGCATAGGAGTATAATGAATAATAATTATAAGTATAATCGCCGTATAATAAGCGTAATATCGTTGGGTTAATAGCGCAAGGATCTTGTCCACATGTCCACTGCCATCAGGGAACTGCACCTAGCCTTGATGTATATTCCAGGAGGAGAGGTAGAGAGGGTTACGTAGTTGACTAATGGACTCCTGAGCCTTGATGGCAGGTTAAAACTCGTAGTTATTAAGCATAATCTCAGATTTGGAAAAGTGCTAAGAGGTAGATAAGATCTCAGGTGACTTGCTGCCATCTTCGGTGGAGCCAATTGATCCTGGGGTGGACAGGCATTGAGGTCATGACCCACTTGTACTCCGTACTGATGCATCGTCTCGTATCTTAATCAATGGATAGACGATGTCTCAACCGTGTCCAGGTCAACTTTTGTTCCATTTCGACGGCTGTCCTGCTCTGCGTGTAGACGAATGAGATATGTGTGATTAAAGCTATCAGATACCCAAAGGTAGAGGTTTATATTGGAAATATAGTAGATACAAGACAGTTAAAACATATAAAGCAAGACATTCCTGGGTAAACTGTATCTTTGGACATACAAACAGAAAAAAAAATAGTTAATACATAAAGAAGTATACAAAGCTAAGAAGAAATCAAAGGACGGAGAACAGGGTTGTGCTGTTCTAAAGTGCCAGCAGCTGGGCTGGTTCTTCCTCCAGTAGAACTTGCATCTTCTCCAAAAATGCCATAGCACGAGGTTCCTCGTGCTCGGGAATCGTCAGGCTAAATATGCTTGTGTTTTCGTCCTCCTCTGATTCGACTGTCCTGCTCACACTCCTCTTTGAAGGCGATGACCGGCCGGTCAGAACATCAATGATATCATCCGCAGATTTACGCAGGCTTTGCTGGCTCTCTCCTGAGCTAGAATAGAACTCGGAAGGAGAAATAATCTCTGGGAGGTAATCTCCCCGGGAAAATGCCATCTGTGTAGAAGCAGAGGGCCTGTGGCCTAGGATCTCGTCAAATAGAGCTGATGACCGCTGCTTCTCGCTGGGCTTGACGGGTAGGTTCTCGTTCGCGATATCGGCTGCCCGAGAAACAAAAGTGGCAAGTGGGATCTCAACACCAACGGAAGATTGAATCCGTCGTCGAACAGAGATGAGCTTGGAGAAAGACACAGGAACAGCGATTTTGGTTTCAAACACAGACTGCACCGGCTCTTCCGATCTTGACCCAGCAGTCACCTCTTCCACCTGAGTCTTTTCCTCCTGGGGTGCCGGAGTAGCTTGGGATGAAGCCTGAGGTGCGACTATCTTGATATTGCTCAGGTCTAGTCGTGAATTCTTTGCAAGCTGTGAGGCAAGGTCGGCAGGATAACTGGCGGCAATTGTACCAAGGTATGAGAGCACGTCTCCCTTTAGTATCCGGCCATTCGGCCCCGTAGCAGTCATTTTAGATACATCATTCGATGGAATATTGTTTTGCTTCATCAATTGCGCAACGGACGGATAAAGCGGATAAGACAAGTTTGGTTGTTGAGCTGCGGTTTGAACGCCTGTAGCGGTGTTAGTCAATCGATCTCCCGCACATTTTCCCGCGGCAAATTCCTGCCAGCCATCCACCGCAGGACCGAGGGAGTAGAAGGATAACTTACATCTCACAGAGCCGCAGCCATTGCTAGCCTGGCGAAGTGGTATCCGTCTGGCGATGGCCGAAAGATTTGCCATGACAGTTTCGCGTGCTTATCGGTGACTCGGGTTTGCTGGTGAGAGACTCTGAGCCCAGGATATCCAGCTATTATGGGGTAAATTGAGTCTATCTAGCAATCAATCCTGATTCCAGGTTGCTCTCGCTGTCCTGCTGCCGTTGCTCTCGTCGTCGGTGAAGTTGTTGAGCGTGAGACGTCTTTTGGTGCCTCGGAAGGATTGATTGGCTTGGCGTTGTTGAGCTACGAAAAAAAGAACAAAAAACATCTGATTGTAGGACATCAGGAGATCTCGATCGCTATTATCGCTGCGCCAGTCGCAAAATACTAACATAACCTATCTAGACAAGGGGAGAGGGGAGAAACGGAACTGAGGGAGGCTGATTCTGGAGGTAAGTGAGAAATGCCCACCAATGGCCCCTGAGACTCCATGCAAAGGCTTCGCTGCACCCCAGAAGAGCTACTGGTATTGGCAATAAACAGCTAGCTGACTATGTGCAATTGAACAGTGATGCTCTCACCATGCTCTTCCGGTCGTTAACAGTCCAATCGTCTCTGTCGCAGCAGATACGATTGCTAAATCCTCGTGGCAGTTCGCCGTATTCGGTGTACAGGCAAACAACTCGGCAGTTACGGTACTATGCCACCAGTCAACCGCCTCCTCTACGGACAAACGCAGTCAAAACAAAAACGAAAGCTTCAGAATTATCCTTAAAAACTCCATCTCCGCCATCAGCAGCACCCAACAAGTTCCGCAGATTTGAATGGGAAATTTCCAAGCATAAGGAGCCGGTCTGCCTGTTCCGAGCCCCCAAACAACGATCATATATCATCGGTGCATACACAACAGCGTCGTTCTGTTACATGTATGCAGGCTATAACTTCTATACTTCCTCCATTGACCCGATATTAAAGATCCAATGGTGGCAAGAGCTGCTTTTTGGCGGCATCTGTTTCGTCATGGCGATTATGGGCACCGTCTTCTTCCGTCGTGGTTTCGGCTTGATATCCCAGATCAGTGCTGCGAACCTCAATGGCCAAACCAAGATATCCATCAAAGTCAGGCGTATGCTTCCGTTTTTGAAGCAGCGTGAGTTCACGCTTGCTCCCTCGGAGCTTTCCTTCTCACAGAAAGTAACTGTGAGTGAAATGGAGCTTACGAAGGCTGGCTGGTCTGAATCCCAGCAGAAGTTTGCGCGCCAGCGGGCTCTTGATGATACTCCATTTTTTAAGAAACCTGTGCAGAAGACGAGTCTGGCCTTTTTCAGGACTTTCTCGAATGCCCGGCGTTTATTTACTCAGGAACATTTCGTTTATGTCAACATAGAGGGACAGAAGAGGACATTGCGTCTGGACGCCCTTGGCTCTTTTTCTCCCGAGTTTCATATGTTGCAGAAAGCGGTAGTGGAGGTGGCGTGAGCTTGCCCTAGAGCGCTACCGTACTATTTATTCGATCATGTATTATACCTGCTGGGCTCTCAATGTACTTTAGCCAATCTACAACTTGTATCATTATGCTGGCGGGTGTTCTGGGATTCTTGGGAGATGAAACTCTTGGGCACAGTGGAACGCTGTCTAACGGAGGGCATAAACGTGAAAGAGGAGTTAAAGATGGCATAAATATACAATAAACATGGCAAGCGTCAATTAATAAAGTAGACCAAGGAGGATGTTAGACGAGGGATTTTGACGACGGACTGGCTAACAGGGTCGCGGAAAGCTATGCCGTTTGGGATCACCGGTATTTGCGTAGCTATAAAGGGTTAGACATGGACTTTCATAGTCAGGGGAAATAACCAAACTCACATCCAGAGTCAATGCCTTACTACTATTCGCAGCCTGATCTCTATAAATACCGACTAGGGCCTCGCTAACCTGGAACAAGCCTGTTTTCAGACTGATGACGATAAATTGCATTCCAGGCGCAGCATGGTCACGAATGTAGTTTGCAATTCTGGACACGTTAGCGTTATCAAGAGCGGCATCTACTTCGTCGAGAACGAAGAATGGAGAAGGCTGGTAAGAATGAATAGCGAAAAGTAGGGCTAGCGCGGCCATCGTTTTTTCTCCTCCAGAGAGATGCTCCATGTCGCGGAATCGTTTCAGCGGCGGCATTGCATGGTATTTGATGCCATCGAGATAAGGCTCTTCAGAATCTTCAATATCCAGGTATCTAGTTATTGGAACAAGTCAGCATATACTGTATATGTAGCTGGGTGGACACATTGAGCTGAGGACGTACGCTTTTCCGCCCATTGGATAGCTCTCCGTCCGAGTAAGATCACGATATATCGGCTCTATCTGTTCAGAGATATGAGTGAATGCCTTGTTGAACAGCTCAGATCGTCGCTGCATGACTTCTTCAAAGTCATCTTTGGCTTTTCTGGCGCGTTTGCGGGAATCTTCAAAGTCCTTCTCGATAGTCCGCAGTTTACTCTCGACGCCTTCGAGACGTTCAATGGCACGCATGTTGGGCGCCATTTTGTCCAGCTCATTATTAAGTGACCTCACGCGCTCTTGAAGCTCCTCTTCAAGTTTGTCATCGGATTCCTGTAGTTGAAGATATTAGCCAATGCTACTACTGTTGCCCTATAATAACATATCATGCTTACCTCCTTCAGGGAATCACCCAGGGACGAGAAATCAACTTCTATACCGAAGTCTTGTACGAAATGATTTTGTGAAACGACGTTATTTGAATCTTCGTCGATTTCCATGGCGTCAGGATCAGGCTGGACCAGCTCATCGATAGGCAGTTTATCCAATGGTTCCGAGTCCGCTGTCAGGGGTATATTGATATCTTCCAATTTGCAACGTCTTATAAGTGTGTATCTACCAGAAGAATGACGCTGCACATCGGCTTCTAGTCCACTGATGGTCTTCAGGGCAGCTTCCACATTTTTGCTACGTCGCTGGAGCTCCCGTCGTTGCTGCGCGAGGTTTTCGGAAGATTCAGAGAATAGATTTTGCTGGTCTTGAAGTTTATCGTTCAAGGACGCCAATTCTTCATTGAGCTCATCAAGTCGCTCCTGGATGGATCCGCGCTCGGCCTCAAGTTCAGCAATCATGGACTCGTCCTTTTGTGACTGTGTCCTGAGGCTATCGATTCGTATTTCAGTGGCCTGGAGCCTCTGCTTTTCAAAGCTAAGTTGGTTCTCAATCTTTGTCTTCTGAGTGGTAAACTGTAGCTTCTTCTCAGCGGCCTCTTCCTGAAGAGAACCCTGTTGGGCATCATACTCCTGGATATTCTTATACCCCAGCCTTTTGCAGAAGTCACGGTAGACTTTATCTTCAACTTCGGTGACAGAGCTTTGGATATCTTCAATTGATTGATCGAGACTTTCAAGCAAAGCTGACTTTTCGCGATACTTGGGCTGGACGCTCTTCATCTGGCGTTTGGCAAAGTCAACTTCACTTGACTTGCTCTCTAGATTCTTTTCGAGGGCGCTCAGCTCATCCTTGGAGTATGCAAGGCGCTGTTCTAAACCGGTGAGTTGGCCCTGAAGAGACTCTTCTTCGGATCCTCTACGATGAGCCTTGGGGAGATTGGCCAAATCCGCCATCAGCTTGTCCTTCAGTTTATTGAGGTTGGCGACTTCTGTATCCTCCCACCGTTTGGCATTGCGTTGGCCTGGGCCGCGACCACCAGTCATCAAGCCTCCCTTATGGATAACGGTACCATCCAACGTCACAGCCTTTGCCTCTACGCCCTTCTCGTAGCACAGGTATTTTGCAGTTGCTAGGTCATCACAAACTATGGAATTCCCGCAAGCATACGTGATGGCTCGGGAGACAGAGCTATCGAAATCAACTGTTTCAATTGCCGGACGCATGGCACGGTGCATGCCTTTCAAGTTAGAGTTGAGTGGCTTGACTTGTATGGTCTCAAGAGGGATAAACGTAGCCTGACCTGCGCGCTGATCACGGAGGTGCTGGATACATTCCTTTGCGGTCTTCTCGTTGTCGACAACAATTGCATCAAAATGACGTCCTAGCACCGTGCTCACTGCTTCAGCATATTTCTTCTGCTTAGGCTGGCATAGTTCGCTGATACGGCCCTTGACACCAGGGAAGATGCGTTTTAAAGTGGCAATCATCTCTTTAGTGCGCTGCTCCTTTTCACTCTGCTGTCGTCCATCATCTGCTTCTAGCAGTTTCTTCAAGGTGACCTGGAGCTTTTCCTCAAGTTCTGTTCGCATCTGGGCAACACGTAGACGCTCAGAGGTAAGACTATTAAGTTCCTTCTTGGTAGCATCTATTTCCTTGGTCGTAGACTTGATGGTTGCGGCTATAACGGACTTGCGTTCAAGTATATGGTCCATGTCAGTCTGCAAGTTCTTTGCCTGCCACTCCACGCTCTCAAGGTTGCTTTTCATGTTGTTAACTGCCTCTGCGTCGGCCTTTCTCTGGCGTTTCAAGTTATCCAATTTGAGCTGTGTGCTTGATGAGCGCTTGCTGACCTCTTCCTTGAGTCTGCTGTACTCCTGCATATCAGCATCAGTTAACTGGATTCCTTTGACGGCAATGGTTTGTTTCCACTCGTTCTCCCACTGGCCCTGAGCCTTCTCGACGATTTTGAGGTCCTTTTCAAGCTGCTTCACCGTCTTCGACTGCGCGAGCGCTTCCTTGGACACTTCATCTACCCGGGCAGCATACTTGGCCACCTTTTTGCCAGTAATCTCTATCTTTTCGTTAACAGGGACAAGAGAGTTTGTTGCCTCCTCAATTTCCTTTTCTTTCAATTTGATCCCCTTTTCAGCTCTGGACACATCTCTACCGACTCGAGCGTGCTCAACCTTAGCATCCTCGAGATTTTTTTCGTATTTTTCAACACCCCGACGAAACTCTTTTAGCTCATCTTGATATTTCTGAATCTCTGCACTTGACTCTACAATCAAGCGCTGGAAGTGGAACAGTTTCCAGAGGATGTGAGTGATGATGGCCTGGTCACGTTCCTCAGCTTTCCGGGCATACGTCTCGGCTTCCCGTTTTTGTTCCTGGTATTGTTTGATCTCTGAGTTGATACCACGGCGACGGTTGAGTTGGAAGTTGAGGTGCTCGGCAGCCTCTTCTTGCTCCGCCTTCAGTCTCTCATAGTCCGCTTTACTCTCCAGACTTCCAGAAATTTGTTCGATCAGGCGCGTAAGGTCTTTGGGAGACTGAGAAGCAATAGACTCAACATCACCCTGAAAGACAAGGAAGTTGCGGGCTTTAATCAATATGTTTTCAGCTTCCAGTGCGTCATTGTACTGTTGAGCTGTAACCACACGGTTGTTGATGCGGTATTCACTGACACCCTGACTCGTGATGGAGCGTTTCCATTGCTGTTCCTCGCCAGCATCGTCTTCATAAACGGCCATTACCCACGCAGATTTGGGGTCATTTCTCTCAGCGGGCTCATCCGCAACATCACCGTTTTGCCCCTCCGACTGTCCTGCGGCCGGATCCTTGGAAGCCGAGCCGTCGTCATTGATCTTTGCAGTGCGTAGAACACGGCCACGGTAGACTAGGTCGCGAAGGTGGGTTGACCGCAAATGGGATGACTTGATTCCGAGGACGAACGAGATCGCGTCCATTCTATATAGATTAGCTTAGCCATCCTCTCTCTTGCTTTTTTACATCTCCCTTCCTATTCTCCTTCTCTTCTTTCTTTCATCCGCCAGGAACACGCTTACGAGTTAGACTTGCCCGACCCATTGGGGCCGATGATTGAGGTGAAGTACGCATCGCCGAAGAGCAGCGTGTGGTGACCCTTGTAGGACTTGAAATCTGTGGATTAACAGTTAGCAAAGAAACGAAGCCAGGCTGAATAGCTCCTTGACAACACGTACTAAAGAGCTCGAGGCGAATCAGCTTCCCCATGGCGGCCTCCCTTGCTGCCTCTTCTTCCGCTTGGACAATCTCGTTGTGACCTAGTATTTGGCAGTCAATTCGATCTCTCGTTTGTCTTTCTGCTTCTTCTACACTTTGTCAAAGCGCGTCGCGTGAGTCACGTGAGTACTATAATTATGGATCGAGGTTCGCTTACTCATATGCTACTCATCACATGAGGCTTTTGTTGGCACAATTCACAAAACAACAACTTAACTACATCGTACCAAAGCGTTGCGGGCTTTGAAAGCTAGAAAATGAAGGGAATTTAGCTATGATTCAGCCTGTTTTTGGTTGGTAACGCTACAATTTCCCTATCTGTCGATATACTGCCTGCTCATGATTCAGAGGGAAGCCTTGTGAAGCATGGCCTCAAGGTGCTGCGGGTTTGCGCCGACAAGCTCGCCCTGCTTCATTCCATCTTTAAATATAATAAACGTTGGCATAGCTCTGATGCCGACCTCTTGAGCAATATCCGCCTCGGCGTCGACGTCAACCTTATAAAATTCTATGTCTGTGTGTTTCGTTGACAACGTCTCGAAAACCGGTGATATGGTCCTGCATGGCCCACACCAGGTCGCCCAGAAGTCAATAGCGACGACCTTCCCACTATTGATTATCTCGTTGAATTTGGCCAGGCTATAGAGTGGTTAACCAGCCGGTAGATGAAGAAGGACACACGGCTTAATTGAGGGGAACGGCTGCTCGTACCCTTCGATAGCGGGGACACCCATTATGTCTTTGTCAGGGGTTGGTCGTCAGGCTCGTGGAATCTTAAATGCTGGGACGGGTAACTAAATATTTAACTAGCACAGAGTACTTGAAGACCAGGAAGTGAAGAGTGCTGGTTTCCATGAGCCTCAAGAGGGGAGACAGAGGCATCTGTTAAGTATAAAACATATACGAACAATGGTAGGACTGCCCCTCCTGCAAACACTCTAAACAATTTGACTCCTGACCAGCTAGGACCAGGCATGGAAACTATCACTGTTGATCTGGCTTGATGACGCTATATCACGTCTTCTCAAGCGGCTGTGGGCTCCAGAGCACTCATCATGTTACAGCAGATTGCAAGCCGAACTCTCAGCTGAAGACGTCGATCGGCCCTGTGGATAATTGCCATGGCACTGTCTTTCCGGCCCATCTTCAGCTCGTGTAGATGACTTCTTCGATCTCCGCTGACATAACAATAGCTCGTCATTCATAGATGGTTTTGCTATTTCACTTAGGATCCAAAGGCGCTCCGCAGTAGCCCCGACCCTCTATTGACTGACTGTAGACCCCATCTATTTATTGTCTTATTACGCTTCTTTATTGCTCCAGCTTTTAGGGACAACTAAAGAGCATGTAGAAGTAGAGAAAACAACACCATCCGTGTTTCTGGTACAGGGAATAGTAAAATATACCTTGGCCAAAACCTAGAAGGCGGAGATACTGTTCATTCAACAAATTCATTACGCGCTTAACAAAGTAGTTAGGGAAGACGACTAGACAGAGCCCAAAACTCGGTTAGTTATATCTGCTAGACTGTCGAGATAGTAACCATAGGAGATCCGGGTCAGTTCTTGCAAGGGAAATGTGTTCGGGCATGCTATCATCAGTTTCGCTGCTCAAGCTTCGTAGCATAGAGCTTCGACTCCTAACAAGGCTGAAAATTATGCAAGGTGGCTAGCAATATGGAATGAATCGAAACAGGCGAGACACTGCGGCACCCACTACCACAGCACGGCGGTAAGCAACGAAATTAGGTAGTTAGGGCTTTTGAACATAGTTTGGACCATAGCTATAACACCATGGCACACTGAATTGTTAACTTACCAATTTTCGGGCTTCTCGATTCTCTTCCTACTAATTTCTAACTTGTTAATCTCTAATATGTCTAATAAGTTTATCCATTCATTCAGCTTGTTTCCGAAGGCCCTTTTCCGGCTAAATTACGGACGCGTTGTTCGACTTCGCGCACACCCATGGCCCTTGAGACCTCCATGCGCATTTGACCTATTTACCCACGCTGGCAAAGTTCAGCCCAGCGCCCTTGAGCCTGGAGCATATATCTGTAAGGGACTATCATTTCTATTTTCCACTCATTCCTTTATCTTTCTATCTGTTCCTCTATATATTCTTCCCGGGATAGTTCCCGTTAATGCGTTGTGGTGAAAAATTTTAGTCCCTAATGGTGCATCGCTACGTCCAAATACAAAACGACAGCAAGAAGTTGTTCGAAGGGCCAGAGGTAGCGCGTTTCATGTTTATGCTATTCCCGCAGGTTTGATTCTCTGGTCAATACCCTTTCCTCATCGGATACTTCGCTAAGGAGAGATAATAAATAGGCACACAGCTTCCGGATGATCTAATACTTGTCCACGAGTTTCGTGATCATTACTCACTACAAGCTAGAAAGGAGATGACTGTGGAAGGTGAGCATCCTATCCATACTCGAGATTATTTGAGTCAGGTATCGAAGCTAATGAAACTACAGAGCTGGATCTCAGTATCACACAGTTCTTGGAGTCCCAAGCAGTATGTTTCAAGAGAGATGAGTGGCTGCGGAAGTATCCTGTGGCTACCGAAACCTTCTAGACAGTAATACTAGCTATGATAATCTCGTTAAGCATGGCTTTCAGCTTGCTAGTTACCCTAGCCTGCAAGCTTCCAGCTCTTTCCTCTTGTACTTGTACTCTTAAGCTGAGGTTAAGCTTTTATACCACGTGACAAGATTTAGTTACATAATTTTCACGTGCTAACCCCTTTGGACCTAGCGCTCCTACCTTATCTCGTCTCTGGAAACGACTTTCCTAAGCATAAACACTGACTAAGCTTCTGACTAAGCCTTTCCAGAACTTTGGGCTTGACCAACCACGCGCGCGTGTCCGTGCACACAGTCCCGTTGCGGTAAGCAGCTGGCTCAAACCTCAACGTCGCCGTCGTTTTTTCTATCTATCATGGGATCTCTCGCTGCTGCTCGTCCACGCACACACAGCAGAGCAGGCGAGCGGCAGAGACAGGCCAGGGCAGGACGGAACAGGACGGTACTTCTCTAGACACGCAGTAAGTAAGCTGCCTGCGAAGGGCCCGATCGCCACCTGCAGCACGAGGGCGTCGGCGTGGGCGTGGAGAAGTCGGAGAGAGCCAGTCGCTCCATGGCCACCGGAGCATAGTATAGATAAACTACTTATAAACGACCATCCGCGCGCTGTGAGTAAGACGTCTCCTTCGTCTTCTTCTTCCTTCTTCTCCTTTTCTTCTTTTCCTGTAGCCAAAAATACCGTTTCTTCTTCTGTCTAGCTTTTCTTTTTCCGCTTGCTTATCTCGTTTGGGGCCTTGCCAGAGTGGCCTTGTTCCAGATCCCATTCTCACCAAGCTGACTTGAGCAGAAGCTAGGCAGGCAGCATCTCGCATCTCCCCAGAGACGACCGCCAGCGTAAACTCCGAAGGGGCTGGGCCCTCCTCCTTTTTTCTCTCGCCGTCCCGTCGTGTCGTCCTCGATACAGAACATACAAGGAGGATAGAATTTTTTTTTGGTACCCGGGGCCTTCATAATAATAATGCAGACCGCCATGGAGCGTCCTGACCTACACCGGGTCAAGTCAGAGCCCGCATGCATACCACACTCACAGTCCGCTCCCATCGCCAGTGATGGAGAGACCGTCCTTGTTGCGCAGGAGGAGCCTCCGGTCATAACTCCAGAGGGCGGACGGAGCCCCCTAGCACTAAGTCCTCTCTCTCGCATCTCTTCGGAGGGCAGCAGCTCCTACCAGGAGGACTGGGAGCCGCTGACACCGGTAGAGAGAGTGACCGTGCTCGACCTGCTCGGAAACCTGGCCATATCACAGAAGCTGGAGAGATGGCAGGCCTCGCTCAACGCGCAGAAGGAGAGGGTCAAGCGTCACCAGGAGAAGTTCAGGTCGACCAGCCAGCAGGCACGCCAGAGAGTCGTCGGTGAATTCAAGAAGCGGATGCCTTCATCGGAAGAACAGCTGCAGAAATACCGGAAGCGGATGAAGAGCTCGGTCGAACGACTTGCCGTCCGCTGGAACGATACCGTCACAGTCACCGCCATAGAGAAGATTTCCTTTATTGCAGGTGTCCTCAACGTCTTCATCAGCGGCTACCTGCTCGGAGCATTCCCTACCTACTTCTACCTCTGGTTCACCGGCCAGCTTATCTACTTTATGCCCCAGCGATATTACAGATACTGCAAGATCGGCTACCATTACTTCCTTGCCGACCTCTGCTACTTTGTCAACCTGCTCACCATACTCAGCATGTGGGTTTTTCCCAACTCCAAACGACTCTTTTTGAGTACGTGGTGTTTGGCATACGGAAACAACGCCGTGGCTATTGCCATGTGGAGGAACTCGATGGTCTTCCACAGCATTGACAAAGTTGTCAGGTAAGTTTGTTTCTTTCCCTATGTTTCCAATAATGAGGCATGGCTTCTAACACTGCCTGCAGCTTGTTCATCCATATTATGCCTCCCGTAACCTTGCACTGTCTAGTACATCTCACGCCACCAGAGATACTAGAAACCAGGTTCCCGGCTGTGTATCAGATCAAGTTTAGCGCCCCAGGCTCGCCGGAACATTACACACTGGGAGCCATGATGATCTGGGCGTCGGTTCCCTACGCCATCTGGCAGCTCAGCTACCACTTCTTCATCACCGTGCGCCAGAGAGATAAGATTGCTGCCGGCCGTCCAACCAGCTTCACCTGGCTGCGGCGATCTTATGCCAAAACATGGATCGGCAAATTCGTGCTTCATCTCTCCCTGCCCTTACAAGAACCCGCCTTCATGATGATCCAGTATATCTACGCCATACTCACGATCGTTCCCTGTCCGCTCTGGTTCTGGTATCAATGGGCAAGCAGTGCCTTCTTGAGCGTCGTGTTCATCTGGAGTATCTACAACGGAGCCACATTCTACATCGACGTGTTCGGGAAGCGGTTCCAGAAGGAACTCGAGCAGCTGAAGAGAGACGTCGCCAAGTGGCAAATGTCTCCCGAAGCCCTGACGGCCGTGGCTGACCCCCAGGATGCAGACGCCATCAAGCCCGCCTCTCTCACCGGCGTGGTCATGACAAACCCCAAGCAGCCCTATGTCGAACCAAGCCAGCTCATCACCAACCTCGACCTCAATGCGAATGCCAAAGCTGCGTCCACCGGCGCCTTGGTCGACGAACCCGCCACCTCTCTTAATACTACAAATAGACGACCCCAGGATGCCTCTCTCTAGCGTTCTTTTTTTCCTCTTCAACATGCCGCTGTTTTCTTCGTAACTCCCTGTCGACGATTTCATCTTATGTCCTGCTTCCTTTTTGTTAGTGATGCCTCTACTATGTTTGCAGAGTCCTAGGATGTACATATATACCCCCGGTTGATCGTTGATGCCCTGTTGGATCATGAGTGTCAGTATTTTGTGACTTGTCCGCACATCTAATCCTAATACTACCCGCCACAGTGAGAAAATCACTGTCTGCCCAGTTTCCATCACTTCGTCTTCCGTAGAAATAGAATTAAATCCATCGTACGTAAATAATGTTAAGTTCACTCCTGACTGGATTCGTCCATGGAATGATTTTTTTTGGTGGCGCCGGCGAAATATTTTGTCCGTTGCATTTCTGACGTGCGGCCGGAGGATTAATCTCCTACGTAAGGGGACTTTTGCTCGATCAGAAGCTGAAAAGGCGCAAGTCACTCGGAAGCGCAAGGAAACAGCATCGAACAGAAACCGAGCATCTTCACATCTTCATCTTTGAATCATCCTCTGTAATTTTTTGTACGGCCATCCCAGACTTACCCCCAGCTCAACGCATACATGGCTGTGCGGAACCTTGGCCAGAATGGATTACTTCTAAGGAGGCTGATGCAGAGCGGTATGCAGACACTCACCCCGGCTCCCCCCAATTCCCTTTCGGCCTCTTGATCTAACAATTACAGCAGATGCCGGACGCCTTAACATCGCTAGATTCACTTACTCCGCTTTCCAGGCTCAGTCTTCCTATCCATCCCGGCCGTCGGTCGGTCTTGAGCTTGCGCAGCTCCGCCGTGGTTACTCGAGCGGCCCATCCACATCGCAAGGATCAAGCAGCCCCAACCACTTCCCACCGCCGGGATTCAATGTCGAAAAGGCCAAACAGCCTCTTTCAAAGGAGACTCAGCCGTCAGCTACCCCGTCACAGGAGCGGAACACTTCGAGCTCGATCTCGAGGCGGTTGGATAGCATAGAGCTTGAGTCCAGGGAGTTGGAGAAGCGGATACATGATGCTGCTGCTGTCGAGGCAGGCGAGAAGGGACAGGTAGAGGAGAAAAAGGAGGTTAAGAAGTTGACTCTCGGACAGAAGATCAAGAAGGAAATCCAGCATTACTGGGACGGAACGAAACTGCTAGCTGCGGAGGTGAAGATTAGTTCTAAACTTGCGCTGAAGATGGCTGCGGGTTACGAGCTGAGTAGGAGAGAGAACAGACAGGTATGTTCATACATCCGCCCATGTTTCAATGTGCGCTTTTTACTGACTGTTGGCTCTAGTTGAAAAGAACAGTCCGAGATCTGGCGCGGCTGGTTCCTTTCTCTGCCTTCGTTATTATTCCCTTTGCTGAGCTACTTCTCCCTGTGGCTCTCAAACTCTTCCCAAACCTCCTACCAAGCACCTACGAGGGCCAAAAGTCTAAGGATGACAAGGCTGCTATTCTCCGAGGCACCCGTAAGGAGGTCTCCAATTTCCTGCAGGGAACGCTGAGAGAGACCGGTTTGCCTGTCAGTCCGATCAACGCTAAGAAGGAGGAATTTACTGAATTCTTCCGAAAAGTCCGAGCAACCGGCGAAACACCATCGGACGAAGACGTTATCGCCGTCTGCAAGATCTTCAAGGATGATCTGACCCTGGACAACTTGTCGCGACCCCAGTTGGTGGCGATGTGCAAGTACATGAATCTCAACACTTTCGGCACCGACGCTATGCTCCGATATACCATCCGCGTCAGAATGCGCCAGATTAAGCGTGATGACAGGGCCATTGCCTATGAAGGAGTTGACTCTTTACTTATCCCGGAGCTTCAGATGGCATGTGCTTCTCGCGGTCTCCGAACCCATGGTCTTTCTCCTGCTAGACTCCGTGATGATCTGTCGATGTGGCTTGATTTGCGTTTGAAGCAGGGTGTTCCATCTACCCTGCTTGTTCTAAGCAATGCATACATGTATACCCAGCACTCGCAAGAGTATGAGATTTCTTCTCAGATGGATGCCCTCCGGTCTGTACTGTCCAGTATCCCCGAGGAACTGTTCCATGAGATCGAGCTCGAGGTCCATAACGCCGAGGGAGCAGCTACGAACAAGCAGCGTCTCGAGGTCGTGAAGGAGCAACAAGAGCTTATCGAGGAAGAGAACGAGCAGATCACTGAGAACGGCAACACGGGTATGCCAGCACCCAAGGACCATGAGGACATCGACGAGAAAGAAGACAAGCACATGGATGCATCGTCTGGTGCCGAGTCTACTTCTCAGTCCGAAAAGACCGAGACTGATGCCACAACCGACAAGGAGTCTCCCAAGCAGACTCAGTCGGAAGAAAAGAAGCAGTAAAACGGTCAACATGCTCCCAATCCTGACGTTCATTTCCCTTTAAACTTCTCACAAGTGTATTTGTTCATCCCTTTATTTTGTAATTATGTGCGAATCTCCCATTCTCCCGTCATCCTTCGAAGGGATGGGCTAACACTACTCTGCATCATATCCCCGACTCACTGCCTTTTCATACTTCCCAGCCCTTTCCTTTGTTCTCTTCTTCATCTTTGATATGTTTTGGTTTAGACTGGGGTGAGGAGGACTTGTAGCTATAGAAAAATGGTTGCTTTGGTCAATCACTTGGGTGAATAACTATCTATCATAACTAGTTAGATCATGGACGAAACAAAAAGTGCCTACTTGATACCATCAGTATGTTACTACTTTATGTACACGTTACAATGTATTCGTGAATAGTATCCGAGTAGTAGATGTCTGTTTGGTGGCTGATCGTGTCTGCTGCGCCCAACGCCGACCTCGGCACAACTTCGACCCTTGAGATGTTGAGCGGCGGAACCCAACACAGACCATACATGAAGCCAAGCACATACATATACCCAACATCACACCTCGCAAGAGAGATATGAGGCAGAGTCTCCGATCTGCCGCCCTAGATCTAGCCCGTTGCCATAGTAGCGTCTGTCATATTCGGCTATTCTCGTGCGCCGCAGGATCTCCGACGGTGAAAGGAAAGATGGCGCCGCTATCACAGGAATCCAAGGTCAGTAAATATAGAACGCCTGCATATACACACACAAAAGGACACCCTGCATCCCCGACTAAACCGACAGATGCATTGTCTCATGCAGTCGATCAATCACTATCAGACCGTCCCAGAAAGGCTGGATAGTGAAACATCATCTAACTGCTGAAACTGTAGAATGCGATTGAACGTCTGAGGAGGTACACTCCGCCCCCAACGAACTACTACTCTATGCCATTTACAAGACAGGCTTCAGTATTATTACTTCTCTTCGCTGATCGGAGGGGGGATCTTCGAGTCATCTTGACCATACGTGCCAGCACGCTGAAATCATGTATGTTCGGGCTGGCTTCACATCCATCCAACCACCGTGTCGATAGTTATAACAACTAACAACTAACAACGGCTTTAGATCCTGGCCAAGCAGCTTTGCCTGGTGGAAAGGCGGAAGGGCCAAGCGAGACCCCCTTCCAAACAGCTCGGCGTGAAGCGTACGAGGAGATTGGTCTACCAAACATAGACCAGCAGATGCCGTCGCCTTTCTGGGTTGAGCATCTGTGTGAATTGCCGGCCAGCCTGGCCCGAACAGAACTTGCTGTTCGGCCGTGTATTGCGCTCTTGCACTCCTACAACGAAAAGACGGGAGAGGACGCCGATCCTGAAGAAGCATTTATACCCCAACTAGACGCCAAAGAAGTTGCGGCTGTCTTCACTGCCCCGTTCCATAATTTCTTGAAAGTGGCCGATGAGCCCCGGGGAGAGGGAGACGATGTCCTACCCGGGAAACCAAGTGATTGGTATGAAGGATCATGGACACTATGGAATTCAACCCAGTGGAGAAGTAAGTCTTTTTCCCCCTTTCTATTGGTAGCCAGTTACGATTAGATGTATAGAATGCTCATTACTGACATGGACCAGTGCATCATTTCTTCGTTGCCATAACGAATCAGAAAGTAGCTACACCCAAGAAGCATAGCAAAGAGCAAGATGATGCCATCAACCAGTTAGAGGAGGAGACGTCCTCGTTGGGGCTTGAGCGCTTTCGAGTGTTCGGCATGACGGCCCGCATTCTTGTTGATGCCGCTAGAGTTGCATACGACGAAGAGCCGGAGTTTGAACACAATAGCCACCTTGGAGATGAGGATATGATATCCAGATTAAAGATGCTTGGGCGATTTAGCGAAGTCATCAATCGCGAAGATACCCTGACCCCGGAAATATTTGAAAAAGCAGCAAAGCTGACATGACACAGCCCCTACCAGTCCTTTTCACCGCATTGGAAACATAATGATGACTTGGTTTTACTTTTTTTTTTTTGGGAATCATTTGGCGTTCAAGAAGATGAGGCTTTTTTCTCTCTATTTATTATACGCTAAGTGCCTAAGGGCTGGTTCATGCGCCAGTAAATTAAGTATGGATTGCCCTTTGTGTTTGTAGATCAGGGTATGTTTCCTTTGTTTGTCTCTATCTCTAAATTCATGACTGCTAGCCCATTTCAGACACTAGAAGATGAACGAAGAATTTCAACCTGCAGGCCGCATATTTAGCTCTGACTTTGTCGGGCAACGCCGTACATATGCTCCCACCAACTAGCTAGCTTGCTGGTTCGCGGGCTTTAATGTCTCCGCGGTTACTACCGACAGGACTCCAGCTCCACAGCCTCACCGGTAGCAACATAGCATCCCCATAGTAAGCGTTGGATCAATCATGCGGGAAGTCCCAATTGCAATTATATATGCAAGACGCAAAGCCGGATACGGCAGTGGCTTTGGAAAATGTGTTTATTATCCTTTGTACCTCTTTTTATTATTGAAGATGCCCTGTGCCTCTTTCAGGGCCGGCTTTGATGTTTGAATTCCCCTACAATCTACCATTTAATAATGACATAGCACGCATGCAGGGTTAGATTGACAATACAAACAACGAGATCTCCAGTATATTATCGGCCCTAATTGCCCTGGATAGGGGTTGTTTCCTTTACTTCTCTTGCTTTTGGTATTCCCGGGCAACACCACCTTAGAACGGGCATTACCTACCTACCAATATGGCGATGATAATAGCTCCCCGAGCACCCTACATGCATCCTCTTCTGCCTTCTTCCTCCCTGGAAGGATTGGAGCAGGTTATTCCGCCGGAACCAAACTCACCTAAGATCTACATACCACGATGGAAGCTCGACAAACCGCTCCCTAGCCCACCAAAGAGAAGTTCCGGCACTCCCTCAACAGACGAACAGTACCTAAGCAGCGCCAGGTACCAGCGCCCGAACGATGGACATCGTGAGAATGCAGTTTATGTAAAGAAAACCGGTCCTACCCATGCTCACTCCGTCGACGAGTTGCGGTTGCTTTATAGACAGCGGTCACCGGTTCCCTGCTCTCCTGGATGGCAGAGACGACGAGACAGAGACCAACTTTCCAGCCCAGCAAAACGTGCACGCCACTCGACTGACCCGGTATTTCAAACATGCAACGGAGGATTGATAAGAGCTTCAACGAGGATTGAAAGCAGGAAATCGCATGATGAGAGAGAGGCGCCGGAAAGGGGTTCTGCCTCAGATGCAGCGAAACCGGGTGCTGCAAGTCAGAGGATACGAGCGAAGGGTATTGATGAGCATGCCTGGATGGGAGAGAATGACCAGCCGGTGATTGAATCTCCAAGGGCTGAGGATAATTCAGGCCTATGCTTCTGCCGTTTACCTCATCCACGACACAGCAAGATCTTCCCGGCTCCGCGGACGTCAAAGTCAAGTTCATATCACAGAGGCGTTCAGGCTAGTGATCTTCCTGACGCATCGTCATATATTGAGCTTATTCAACAGAAGTCTATACCAGATGTTCCCGAGGTAAACGTGGAGGACGTTGACGACGAGCAGTGTTCCCCCAGAACCAGACCAAGACCAAGGCCACAAAACCGCACACAGCTGTACTCTTTCACGACATGTGCCAGCACGTCCATGATCAACGAAATCACCGAGACGAGCAGCAGAAAGGATACTGGCGGATTTGGTCTTTTCCGGTCTCCTCCCCTTCCACCAACTGAAGAGAGAAGCCGTCGGCCCAAGCAGCTCGCCATCCCCCCAAGTGACTACCAGCTATATGGAGTCAAAGCACTGTCAAAGAATAGGCCAAAGAAGAAGAAATCCAGCCTGTTCTATCTTAACAAGCTGATACCCAAAGCCATAAAGCGGCATGCCAGCGAGCCACAAATTCAACCGTTGACCACACCACGAACCGCACCACCATGCGGTGGGGAAGGTAACAGACGAGAAGAGTGGTTTGGGCTGGGGAGGAACAGCAACGCGTGGCGGTCGACCGCTGAGTTTTCCAGAGAAGCCTTTGGTTCCAGCTCGAACAAGCTGCCTGAGCAAAGAAGAAAGGAAGAATTGAAGAGTAAGATTGTGATGGTTGGACCGACTCCTCACTGGCTGTAGGGGAAGATGCAGTGTTAATGCTTGGGTATCTGATGATTTTGTCATGGGAGTTTTTGATCTGTTTCTTGCATATGTTCTAGTTAGATGAGGTACTTAGATTAATGACACCAACTTTATGGATGCGGCTATGCCTGTCTTTCCTGTCATTTAACGATCAACACAGGGGTCTTCAAGGGCATCTTTGAGCCTAGAGTGCCTGTATTCTAGGTAGATGTCAGTGCATAGCCATAGGGGTCAGAAGATTGCTCTTTGGTACATGTTGTTTATGCCGAGTCAGGAGGCTTCAATGCCTGGCTCTTGTCCATGTAACTAACTAACTAGCTAGCCGGTTCATTTGCCAACGACGATGTGTACTCTGGTCGGTATTCAAATTGTTCGGTGCATGACCTCGATCCACGGGATCAGGCGATGCCGGGCGGCAAGGAACTCAGTCCCACCAGCCTTTGGACCGCTCTGGTCCCGGAAGCAGGCCGTCAGGAGGCTGTTCCTCGATATCTCGCTGGCTGATCAGGGGCTGCAGGTCCATGGATGGTGACAAGTTGGTGTTAGTACTTGTGCCATGTTTATCTACTTATGCAGTCGGCCATCTCATTGTAACTATAACTAGCTAGACGTCTACATACCCGTCAGCGAGACGATCCAACAATTATGCGAAGGCTCACCTGTCGACCTCGCTGTGCACCCTCGCACCTCTCCTGCCACCGAACTGCATCCATCTATCACCAGTCGTGGTCAACCTGCAAGCTGGTGTTGCTGCATTGAAGTAGTTGTTGTTGCCATCCCTGCTTTTTGCTTTTCTGGCTTGCGCATCCCGTGGAGAAAAAGCCTGCGGGGTAAAAGCAGCTAAGGGAAGCCGGGCAAGGGGGACGCCTGCAGATCGCCAGCTTAGGCGCTTCTAGATATAAGGACAGCTCCCCGTCGACCTGCTTCGGCTCGAGATGTAGAGAACGACATCCAACATTCGACATCCATCGAGCATCTTGCAGTGAACAGTGAAAAGTCAGTGTCTATTGTCCAGGCTGCCGTCTGTCTCTGTAATCTAGAGCTGGTGAAGCAAGGCAAACATGGGCGCAGAAGCTCCCAGACACGCTCCGACCTACCCTGTGCTTGCCGAGCGTCCCGTAGGCCAGCATATCACCTCCATCTACAAGGACCGTCTACGCCAATTCACAGCTACTGGCCAGTATCAGGAGCATAACCTGCTAGAGTGAGCTTGCTTACCATCTTTTGAGCTTCATATGCATGTTGTGGTTGGTGATGTTGATGCTGCTGTTGTTTACATGGCTAACAGCTTACGCGGGGATGCAGCAAGTTCTTCTACGCTCTCAACGACGATGAGAAATACGTAAAGCTCTGGGTCTACTCGGTGCCAAACCTCGAGAGACCGACGTTCAAGGATGCTGTCAAGCACGAGTTCAAGCCTACTCGCAGGGGAGCCTCGTTTGGTCCCAGCTGGTCGACTCACTGGTTCAAGATCCAGCTCACCGTCCCAGAGTACATGAGGAAATATGATCACCTCGAGTTCCACTGGAATGCCAACAATGAAGGCTTGGTCTGGACTGAGGATGGCCGGCCGTTGCAGGGTCTGTCTGGCGGAGATAGAACCGAGTGGATCATCCCCAAGGACTTTAGAGACGGCGCTCCACACATCTTCTATATCGAGATGGCCTGCAATGGCTTGTTTGGTAACTCAGATGGCGACCTTATCATGCCTCCAAACCCAAACAGGTACTACCAGCTCTCCTCGGCAAAGATTGTTGCCGTTAACCTCGAGGCACGAGCTCTGAACTATGACTTCTGGCAGATTGGAGGTAAGTAAACTAACCACCACTTTAATCGGTGCAGCAACATCAGAATACAAGAATAGCTAATGTGGTCATAGATGCTGCTAGAGAGTTCCCTGCTGATTCCTGGCAGGCTCACAAGGCCCTGATAGTCGGCAATGCCATGATGGACGCCTTTATTGCAGGCAATGGCAGCCAAGAGGGCATCATCAACGCACGCAAGGTTGCCCAGGAGTACATTGGAAGCAAGGTTGATTCTCCCGATGTTTACAAGACCGAAGGCAAGCCTATTGTCTTTGCAACAGGTCACTGCCACATCGATACTTGCTGGCTGTGGCCGTTCGCTGAGACAAAGCGAAAAGTGGTTAGGTCCTGGTCAACTCAGTGCGACCTGATGGAACGATACCCCGAGTTCCGCTTTACCTGTTCTTCGGCTCAACAGTTCAAGTGGCTTGAAGAAGGATACCCCTATGCCTTTGACCGAGTCAAGAGCTGGGTGAAGAAGGGTTCTTTCCAGCCCATCGGCGGCAGCTGGGTCGAGCATGATACCAACCTGCCCAGCGGTGAATCATTGGTTCGTCAGTTCTTGTACGGCCAGAGATACTTTGAAAGCCGCTTCGGTCAACGGTCCACCACATTCTGGCTGCCAGACACGTTTGGATACTCTTCTCAGATTCCGCAACTCTGCCGCCTGGCTGGAATGAGCCGCTTCCTCACCCAGAAACTCAGCTGGAACAACATCAACAACTTCCCGCACACCACATTTAACTGGGTTGCCCTTGACGGCACTCAGGTCATCTGCCATATGCCTCCATCAGAGACTTATACCGCCGAGGCTCATTTCGGTGATGTTAAACGCAGTATCACCCGGCACAAGTCTATGGACCAGGATAACACCTCTCTCCTGATCTTCGGAAAGGGTGATGGCGGTGGTGGACCCACGTTCGAACATATCGAGAAGCTGCGTCGACAGCGAGGTATGAGTGACACTGTTGGTCTGCTTCCCCGTGTCACTATTGGAGGCTCAGTCGATGACTTCTTTGCAACACTCGAGAAGAAGGCCATGGAGGGAACTGATTTTGTAACCTGGTATGGAGAGTTGTACTTCGAACTCCACCGAGGAACTTATACCACTCAAGCCAATAACAAGAGAAACAACCGCAAGGGAGAATTCCTCCTCCGTGAGATTGAGCTTCTTGCCACTCTAGCTTCCCTCAGGGACTCTTCATACAAATACCCCAAGAAGGAGATCGACGACATGTGGGAGCCTGTCCTGCTCTGCCAGTTCCATGACTGTATCCCCGGTAGCTCGATCCGACTCTGCTATGATGAGTCTGACATCTTTTATGCTGAAGTGTTCAAGATCGGCGCAAAAGTCAGAGACGAAGCCATGAAGGTGCTTGGTTTTGAGAGTAACAAATCTGGCTCTGATGGTAACTTCGTTGCATTGAACACTCTACCCTGGCCTCGCTCTGAGATTGTCAAGATGGAGAACCCCGCTGCCTCCTCTGGCTCTCCGCAGTATGCGCTTGTGAGCGGTTGCACTGGAGTGATGAAGGTTGAGCCATTGAGCTCTACTCAGTCTACTTCACTTTCTATTAAGGAAGTAGAAGCCGGAGTTTTCGAGCTCCGCAATGACAGCCTGGTTCTCAAGGTCGAGAAGGGCGTGATTACCTCCCTCTTCGACGTGAAGGCCAACCGAGAAGTGGTTGCAAAGGGAGGAAAAGCCAACCAGCTCGTGATCTTCGACGACAAGCCGCTATACTGGCAGGCTTGGGATGTTGAAGTCTACCACCTTGAATCACGCAAGGAATTGACCTCCACTGAGACCAAGATTGCAGAACAGTCTCCGCACCGAGTCAGCGTTGTGACCGAGACAAAGATCAGTGATAAGAGTTGGGTAAAGACCACCATCAGTCTTTCCGCCGAGACCAAGGATAGCATGCCCATGGTTGAGATGGACTGCGAAGTTGAATGGCAAGAGACGATGAAGTTCCTCAAGGTCGAGTTCCCGGTTGACATTCGAAACACCGAGGCGTCGTATGAGAGCCAGTTTGGTATCAACAGACGTCCAACCCACTACAACACAACGTAAGTAGACTTTCTCTTTTTATTTTGCAGTGGGTATAATGCTAATGCTTTATCCGCATGTTGCAGTTGGGACATGGCCAAGTTTGAAGTATGCTGCCACAAATGGGCCGATCTATCGGAGAGCGGATACGGAGTCTCTATCCTGAACGACTCCAAGTATGGCTTCGCAACCGCAGGCAACCTGATGAGACTTTCCCTCCTTCGTGCCTCGAAGGCACCAGATGACACCGCAGACATTGGCCGTCACCGCATCCGGTACGCTATCCTGCCACACTCCGGTCCACTTGACTACCGCACCGTCCGAGCAGGGTACAACTTCAACCAGCCGCTAGCTCTCGAGCCAGCCTCTGGGCCTGAGACGCTGCGAGACTTCCAGGCCGTGAGACTGGTCGATGCCACGCCAGCACTTGTAATAGACACTGTGAAGCGTGGTGAAGACGACGATGATGTTTCCAACGATGATCTGCCACGCCGTAAGGGCAAGAGCGTCGTTGTGCGTATCTTTGACTCGATGGGAGGACGAAGCACGGGTGTCCTGGAGACAGAACTCAAGGTGCAGAAAGTGTTCAAGTGTAACCTTCTCGAGGACGACCTGGAAGAGCTGCCAATTGAAGGATCTGGTCCCTGGCGTGTGAATATTGTGCTGAGGGCCTTTGAGGTTGCGACGTACAGACTGCAGCTTTAGTCGGGTATATTTCTTTCTGCGTCTTATGGTGAGTTTTCGTTATTTTTGACCTTTCGTTTTTCACTAACTTGTTACCCCCATGCCTGCTTAATGATGATGACCCACAGTTTTTAGTCTATCCCGTAGCTAGATATAAGCAGCTAGCAAGTATGATAGTGCATATCTTAAGTCTATGCAATGAAATTGACCCTATATGAACTTTCTATCTGAAGACGTAAAAGAAAAAAAGACAAGAAAGGCACCAACAGCCGCCAAGGTATATATCGCTTTTCCCACCATAAACTCCCCGCCAATGAACCAGGTGTAAAGGTATAAAAGTACAATGCTAGAAGTAAGGAGACAAGGCGAGCTTCACTCCCCTCTAACGTAGGTGATCTTCAACCTCTTGAGAGGCTGCTTGTTATCACCCTCGTCGCCCGTCTCTCTGTCCCGCCGCGCTGACGACGCATCCCCCACGGACTTTCTATTACCTTTCTTATTTGCAGCACCTTTATTACCACCGGCAGCACCGGCACCTGCTCCCACCGAGCCCTCCTTACCCTCACTCTTGATTCCAGGAGCAGTAGACGTAGGTGTCTGGGCATGCGAAGGCGTCGTATGTGCACTCGAGGGAGCCGGAGAGTCCTAAACTACAGTCAACAAACAATGCCGTCGCCAAAAAAAAATCGAAAATAAATAGCACATCACCCACCCTCATAAAACCAGTTGAGCTGCGGGAAAACACCCTGTCAGAGTCAGCCACCTGACCCTTCCGCCTGGTCGTGGGCCCGTTGCCCGAGCCACCAAACGATGCGCCGATCCCGCTGCCTCCCATGCTCGACAGGCTGGACGCGCCCTTGATGTAGTTGTCAAACCCCTTGATGATGTTGCCTGCCCCCGTCTCCTCGAGATAGGACTGTTCGAAGCGGTATATCGACTCTTCCAGCGCGGCCTGGGAAGCGGGAAGTCAGTCAGCGTGTCTGCCTGCTACAAGTGAAACATGTGTAGGATGGACTATAGCTAGCTAGTTACCAGGTTCTTGTCCATCAGGCGCTTCTTCTGCAGGGTATCTCGCAGCTCGCGCCTTAGCTTTTCGTAGTAAGGGATGCCGCGCGCAGGAGCTTGCTGGTCAGCAGCGCTGCCAGCTGTGGGTGTCGTGGCCGAGACAGGCTCGTTGGCTGCGCTGGTTGCACCGACGGATGCAGCGGGAGCTTCTGAAGCCATCGTGAGGGAGGTCGAGAGGGCGTTTCTTGGTGCTGGAGTTGGCGATGCTTGGATGTTTTGGTGTCGGTGTTGGTTAAGTTGAAGCTGCAGCTTTTGCTCGTGTTTCTTTGGCCGCCAAAAGCAACGAGGAAGAAGATGAGAAGATAAGAGAAGATAAGGTGGTGTTTGCACTGTTTGCCTGCGCTCTGGCTGCTTCATAAGAAGAAGAAGAAGCAGAAACAACTTCGTCGCTTTGTGATATTTGGATATTTGGATATTTTGGCTGAAGGGAGAAAGCAGATATTCGCTATTCAAGTACAGAGAGTCGAGTGTTTGCGATGATGGACCACCATAACCACGGAGACATGGACATGGGCGAGTGCAGCATGAACGTCAGTCTACTCTAGTTACTGCTATTACTATTATACCCACTAGTTATTATTATTACTGACAGATGGTAGATGCTGTTCACCTTCTCGACCAAGAACCTGTGCATCGTCTTCCCGCAGTGGCGCGTCACCGGCCTGCTCTCGCTGCTGCTCTCGCTCGCGGCCGTCGTGCTGCTCGTCGCCGGCTACGAGGGCCTGCGAGACTTCACCCGGCAGTACGAGCTGGCGACACTGGGCCAGAGGGACCTACCATCAAGTATGTATTTCTTCTCTTCTATTCTACTTGCCCGTCCCTGCATGTCCCTGTCTTTTCTGCCCTTGCCCTTTGTTTATCTGCGTCGTTTCATGAACGGCTCGGTTTGACAAGTTCGCTCCCTCATGGGACTGGTACGTGCAAAAGACGCCGGTTGTACACAGTCAACGCCAGCGTCGGCGCCAGCGATACCAGACAGACTCTACGGGACAGTTGTAGGAGACGAAAGTAGCTCACTGCTCTACTCAGCCCGGACAGGTAGAGGATCCGCCGCGGAGAGGAAAGGGAAAGTCACCCGTGCCGCCCTGTATGCCGCCCAGGTCTTTTACAGCTTCTTCATCATGTAAGTTGCTCAGCCGTCTTTTCTTGTTCAGATGTTAGGTATAAGAATGCTAACGGGGCGGGAAAGGCTCCTGTTCATGACGTACAACGGCTGGGTCATGCTGGCCGTGGCCGCGGGTGCGTTCATTGGGCATCTCATGTTTGGAGAGTCGTCTGCGTCCAAGACGGTTTCGTGCCATTAAGTGGCGTATCTTTGGACAGGTGTTGGAACCGACTGGCTAGGTACGGTACTCCCTGGTGAAGAGGAGGGATGTATATAAATACATGCATGTATATATATATGATCATGAGCGTTGACGACGTTTCAAGCTGTGCTATTGTTATGGTTGATATTGGTATATGAGCAGTAGAACTATTTTTATGGCACTTCGGCGTCACTATCGTCGCCAAACCCAAAGCTGAAGCCTCCAGCAGCAGAGTCGCTGGTAGAAACATCCACGGCCTTGACTACCTCATCCCACTTCCTCTTCTTCTTGGCCTCCATCTCGAGCAAGGCCTGCTCAAGCATGTCCGGATACGTCTCCTGCATCCTCTGCACAAACAGACCATAAGGATCCTCGATGTCCTTGCGGAAACCAGACACCTGGTCAGCTTTGTTCTGCATAAAGTCCAAGGTCGAACGGAGGTGTTTGCGAGGCACGAAGTTCTGCGTGATGGCTATCGACTCCGACAGATTGACAACCAGATGCCACCAGCCCGAGGGGACGTGTAGAACCTCTCCTTCGCCGCATATGCCTTCTAAGCAGCCCGGGGTGTTCCGTGCCTCGTCATGGAAGTTGAGCAGCCATTCAGCAATGCTGAGCGGGGAGGTTACCTCCGATTGATCTGCAGAGACATAGACGCCCGGTGGAGGCGGCAGACACGCCGAACCAGGGAACATGATCCAGTACTTGGATCCCCGCAGCACGGCGTTCCAGGCACTGGTGGCATTTGGGTCCTTGTGAAAGGTGCTGCCACTCCTGGCTGGGCCGATGATCAGCCACTCCTTATCCGGACGCTGGCTGCCCAGGACGCAGAACAGGTCTGTTCCGAAACATGAGGGTGGCTGGAAGACAGCCTGGTCGCCGGTAGGCAAGCCCATCTTGGAGACGAAGTTCTTGTCAAAGAGGTACAGCGGGCTCTCGTCGGAGTTGTTGTTCAGGTAGTCTACATATGTCCTGAACGGCCAGTCCACCGCCTCTGCACGGAAGAGGGTATTTGCATGGGTTTCCAGTATCTTCTCGACAGACCACGACTGAAAGGCCGGCCAGTCTCTGACTGGCTCGGTCAGGATGAAGGGTCTGTCTGCCCAGGACCGGTCAAACTCGGCCTGGGTCAGGTTTGCCAGACGCGGTATCCTGTTCCTGGCCGGTATGTCGTGGCACACTGACAGAGAGAGATGGGCACACTGGAACGGCCGGTGCAGCGTGTCTGAGAACAGCTGCGAACAGTCCGGTGAGGCTGTCTTGCTCTGTGACACGTTCAGATACGTTGAATGCCAGTCTCCGTGCCATGAGAAGTGTGACGGAGACGCCCTAGATAATACGTTAACACACACATAGCATGGTCAGGTATTTAGAGGACAGCCTACTGGATGAAAAGGGCCTTCCAGAGCTCTTCGGCCCTGGTAAAGGCATAGAGAGCCCTGCATGTCATCCCCAGCCGGCTCAGCGTCGAGGCATCAAATGACTCCAGCAGCGTCAGCACCAGCTCGTCCGGCAGCAAGGCAAAGACGCCCATAGCAGGCCGTATGTCCCCCACGGCCGCCAGCCCGTTGCCAGAGGGCTTCACGCCCAGCGGATGGACTGGGATAGCATCATCGCCGCCAGCTTCTTCTTCTTCTTCCTGCTTCCCGTCTACCAACTGCTCCGCGAGCTCGCATCCCGTCGTGTAATTCTTCATCTATACAAGCAGCTGCCGAGCTAGCCGTCAAATAATAGCAATAAAAATATGTACGACCTTCGGGCTGACTCGCATTTCTTTTCTTTTGTTCTTCCTCGCTGTCACTTATTGACAGTGTCCTAATTATCACAGGTGGTTTAGGTATTTGATATCAATGTAGACAATATTGGTAGGCCACCACTGCACCGTCACCACGACCTCAACAGGACAGCTAAATGCATAGAACTGAAGCAGCACACCAGCCTGACACCTTCATGCATCTTCCTCTTCGTCTTCCCTCTTCTTCTCGCTGTTTTCGTGCTTCTTCTCGTCGCGCCTTTTCACTGGCTGGAAATCCCACTAAGCAAAAAAAAGCCTTAAAAAAAAAAATTCAACCCACTTCGAACTTTTTTTTTTCTTTGGCGCAGAAAAAAAAAGCGACTTAGGGAAAAAAAAAGTCGAAGGAAAAAATCTTCAACTTCATCTTCCACACAAAAAACAACCAACACCAACAACAACCAACAACTTCAACATACAGATAGAAGATATCTGTCGACCAAAGATAAGATATTTACTACTAGAAATCCAGACGGTGCTTTCAAGAGAGCACCAGGTTTCTAGTCTTTTACCTTAATACTTTCAGCTTCCACGCCGGCGCCTCGTCGTCCTTTTCGACCCCTCCGAACTTGACCACAGACACTCACGTCGTGGTCATTCTATTCCCATAACCGCAATCATGGCTGACAAGGGACTTGAGGAGATTCCTGATGGTAAGAGAGACTGAGAGACGCTCCCGTTTTCACTGCGGATTCACGGCTGGTTGCGACGAGGGGAGAGCTGTGGCGAGCAGCGCCCCTCCAGGCACAGTTGCAGTGCAGTGAAAATTTCATCCCCCTTGAAGACTGCGGATTGCTGACTCGCGACTACAGCCCAGATCGAGTCCAACTATGACGAAGTCACAGATTCTTTCGATGCTATGAACCTCAACCCCGAGTTGCTTCGAGGTATGTGATAGCAATACAATACTTCCCCCCAAGTCGTGCCAGCCAGCGCGGGGGAGGGGGACGAGAGAGCCGCAATTCGACTGACTCAGAGCGTCTAGGTGTCTATGCATACGGTTTCGAGCGCCCATCTGCTATCCAGCAGCGTGCTATCATGCCAGTCATCAAGGGTACGTCTGCACCATTCTTAGTAGGATCTCTTTAGGTGGTCTGTCGACTAATGCGCCGTCTCTAGGCTCCGACGTCATTGCCCAGGCTCAGTCTGGTACTGGAAAGACTGCTACTTTCTCCATTTCGGCCCTGCAGAAGGTCGACACCAACCTCAAGGCCTGCCAGGCCCTCATCCTCGCGCCCACCCGTGAGTTGGCCCAGCAGATCCAGAAGGTCGTCGTCGCCATCGGTGACTTCATGAGCGTCGACTGCCATGCCTGTATCGGTGGTACCAACGTCCGTGACGACATGAAGGCCCTCCAGGACGGCCCCCAGGTCGTCGTCGGTACTCCCGGCCGTGTCCACGACATGATCCAGCGTCGTGTGCTCAAGACCGACCACATTAAGATGTTCGTCCTTGACGAGGCTGACGAGATGCTTTCTGTTAGTACCCTAGTCTTTTTCGGTTTTTTTTTTTTTTTTTTTTTTTTTTTTTTCCGGTTCAGATTCAGTTACTAACATCTGGATAGCGCGGTTTCACTGAGCAAATCTACGATATCTTCCAATTCCTGCCCCAGTCCACTCAGGTCGTCCTTCTCTCTGCCACCATGCCCCCAGATGTCTTGGAGGTCACCACCAAGTTCATGCGTGATCCCGTCCGCATCTTGGTCAAGAAGGCCGAACTTACCCTTGAAGGTATCAAGCAGTTCTACATTGCCGTCGAGAAGGAAGAGTGGAAGCTCGACACCCTCTCTGATCTCTACGAGACTGTCACCATCACCCAAGCCGTCATCTTCTGCAACACCCGCCGGAAGGTCGACTGGCTTACCGACAAGCTCCAGGCCCGTGACTTCACCGTCTCTGCCATGCACGGAGACATGGAGCAAGCCCAGCGTGATGTCATTATGAAGGAGTTCCGCTCTGGCTCTTCTCGTGTCCTCATTGCCACCGATCTCCTTGCCCGTGGTATTGACGTCCAGCAGGTCTCCTTGGTTATCAACTACGACCTTCCTGCCAACCGTGAGAACTACATCCATCGTATTGGTCGTGGTGGTCGTTTCGGCCGAAAGGGTGTTGCCATCAACTTCGTTACCGCTGATGATGTCCGCATGATGAGAGAAATCGAGCAGTTCTACAGCACCCAGATCGAGGAGATGCCAATGAACGTTGCTGGTAAGTTTACCTCCTCCCTGTCCATGCTATCTATAAAGAATATGGCGACTGACAGATTACCTTTGCAGATCTTATCTAATCACCCCCCATTTTCACTTTCGGCATACCCACTCCTTTTCAGAACTCCCTTTTTCTTTCATCTTTTAGAGTCAATCATGCCCTTCCCTTACGGTATCTCCGACGAATGATGTCACTGTTTCTTTGACGGCCTTTTGAATCTGAATGACGGACACTACTGGCAGTCATGTTGTTCAGTACAAAAGTTTCATTGCTTCTCTCAAAAATCTTTTCTTCATGGCTTGATGATTCCTTTTCGAAGGCTTTCGATAATGAAAGGTGTGGCGGAATAAGTCTGTTAATGTATGCCGATCCAACTCCTTTGTCTCGAGGGCGTCGCCCGTGTCTCATTTGTGTGCTATTCCTTCAAAATGCCAGTTTCTTCCTTTTTTTTTGCCCGTGTATCTGATATTTCACCGGTTTGTTTCTCCTTGCAATGCCCACGCTACTCTGACCCGATCAATCTTGTATCTGGAAGGAATACCAGCATGCAAGGGGAATCCTTCTGCTATTCCCTTTTATCTCTTCTTTCCTATCCATGGCTCTACCCTGATTAATTCTGGCAAGTAGGGGTTTTCACAATACGAGCAAAAGGCACCGGGCATGAAGTTGCAGGCCATACAAAATGTATTCCTGGCTAACGACAGAAGAGACCAAAAAAAGGAGCGAAGAGGGAGCCTGAAATTGTTAAAGATGATGATTTATGTGGTTATCCTACGGTGTCTTGGTTTCTTTTGCTTGTTGATTCCCCCCTTTTTGCCCAACCGAGTTGATGCTGCATGTTTCTGCGTTCTGTTATAGATAGAGCTAAAAATGGGAGTCGACTTATCTTCTCTTTTATCTTTTTCGTACTGAGATATCCCTATCTTTACGCTGTGGACTTTTTTTGGCTGCTGGACGTAGAATGAGTGGTTGATGTACGATCCTCTAGTATTTATGAGACGTGGAGTATCGATATACTTCCCACACTCTACCTCTACCCGTTTCAACATAGATACCAATATACCCTATACCACCTACAATGTCTTCTCAAGGCCGACAGCTCAGCTCTCTAGCACCAAATATCCAGCCAAAGGAACCCACGAAAAAACCTAACGTACCATCACCGGCCTCCCTCCTCTGGGCGCATCAGCTTCACCGCGAACAAAACGCGCTCTCCATCCAGATATCGGAACTAGAGAGTTCACTCAAATCATCCATCACGACGGCCAATGACTCTATTCTAGCTAAACTAGACGCGTTCACGGGACAGCTCGATAGCCTCAGGAACGAGATTGAGCAATTGAGACGTGATGGGGCTGTAGAGGCTGAGAAGCTGGTGGCGTCGTTGGAAGATAAGTTGAGCGAGAAATTCAGCGGTGTCGATGAGAGGTTGAGTACGGCCTTTGGGAGAAATTATGAGATGACGAGTGAGATGGTTCGGGAGGAGATTGGGAGGGTTAGAGATGAGCTTGTTGATGCCTTCAAGGCGGTTGTTGCTGGTAGGCCGTTGGCTGCAATAGTATCATGTTGAAATAGAACTGACTCTGAGTAGAATCAAGGCAGCAACAAAAGCAGCAGCAGCAGGTTGATACCCCAGAACCAAGACAGAGAACGCCATCACCAGTTCCAGGGGATGAGCCAGGCCCAGACCCTGATATGAAACAGTCTACGTTGGTAGAGCCAAATTCTCCATCCCAGCCGGTAGTTATCTGGCAGGATAACGTACATCCGTTATCAACCGTCCCTGGTACCCCTATAGAACCACCATCAGCTCAGGCCGGGATGGCAATTGATATTGAAACAAGAGATATCAGTTGTCCACCACAGACGGTAGCCAAAGATACCCAGATGGAGCCTCCGGAGCTGATCATGCAGGGACCGATTCCGTTGTCAGACTTTCTCGAGCTTGGCTCGGCATATATCACCCTGGGGTATGTTGATAGCCAGGTAGCATTTGCTTTATGGAAAGGGTTAAACGAGTTAGGTCTGCGAAGGCTGGTAGCCAAAGAGATGCCTGAAAACCATGACCAATGGACATGCACCAAGTTCGTGGAAGTAGTAAGAAGATTAGACAGGCAGAAAGCAGGTATGGATAAAGATGCAGAGAAGGCAGCGGTAAAGCCGGTGGAAGGGAGAATAAAGAGGAGACGTCGAGTGATCTCGGTAGTTTGGCCGACGGACGAAGAAGGCTGTTAACAAGCTGCTGAATATAGGATGGTAAATGGAAATCTAACGAGGTAGTCTATCCTGTCCTTTCATGAAGATGGTGGCTATAGCACAGATAGCAAAATATATACGGACAATCAGACCTTCAAGGGAGGTTGACGATGTTGCGAGTAATCATTATCTTCAACTAGTTCTCTGCAAACTCGTATCTCCCTTCACGGTCCTGGACCATGACCTCGAGCCGACCCTCTTCAATCTCCTTCCCGTCAACGCTGATACCGGCCGTCATGACCTGACCGTTCGTCACCTCCCCTACACCCTTGGGCGTACCGGTCAAACCAAATCGCCGGGATCCAAGGTCATCACGCGGGATATATCAGCAAGCTGGCGCGGAATTTTATAAATCATCAGCCCGGTGTTATCTAGCTGCTTCGACACTCCATCGACCTCGAGGTGGAGAGTTGCATTATGCGGGTCCGGAATGGCTGATTTGGAGATGAGCGAGCTGATGGGCGAGAAAGTATCGAAGCCCTTTGCGATCGACCACGGCAGGCCAGCGCGTTTAGCTGAATCCTGCACATTGCGAGCAGTCATATCAATTGCAACGACGTAGCCTGTAGAAGAGAAAATACCAATGTGAGCCAGCTAGTAGCACAAACGAGCCAATAGATATATGCGGCTGGTGCGGTGCAGTTACCAGCAATCGCGTCGAGAGCGCCTTTGACGTCGTTTGGGTCATGGTCTCGCAGCCTTGAGCCCATGATCAGGCCCAGCTCTACTTCATAATGGAGTTTGACGCCCTTGGGCCGGAGAACGGGGCCGGCTCCTGGTATGAGGAGAGACGAAGGAGGCTTGAGGAAGAAGAACGGCTGCTTTGGTTTGGAGTTGTTCAGCTCGGCGATGTGGTCGCTGGCGAGGAGTTGAGTTAGCAGCCTGGCCGGGATGGGAAGAAGGACGAAGCAACGTACGCATAGTTCCGGCCTATGCAGACGATCTTCCTGCAGTTCGCTCTGATAGAAGAAGCCATGGCTGGTCTAATTGTCTGCTCGTTCGCTGCTTGAAGCCGTAGATTTAAATGCCGAGGCTGAGCTTGGGGGAAACCTGGAGATGCCGGGCAAGAAGTTGATCCGCCGGCGGTTTTGTTATTCCAATTTGACTGAGGGACAACCAGCAGAGCAGCAGGATACCGGAATATAAACAAGATACCAAGATAAGACGACAGATGCAGGTTGCCGACGTCCTTTCTGACCTCGCGTCACTGCGGGCTTGCGTATGTGGCTGTTCATGACTTGAGTTATCAGGCTAGTTATTGCTAACGACTACATACAGGATCAAGCAGAGGCGCTTGCCTTGGTCAATATACACAACGCTGAGCAGGCTCATGGCCGGTCGCAGAACAAGGACGTGCAAAGAGCGACAGAGCTCATTGAACTGCATAGAAGCATGAAGGAACATCACATCTATCAGAACGGCGGAGTAGACGCTGCACTTCATCAGGCCCGGATGGACGTGGATGCTGTGTTGGCAAAGCTGGGACGGTCTTGATGTAGGGTATTTCTTCATGGGGATCTCTCTTTACATACGACGCTTAGCAGTTGACAGTTAATCTACTCGAGGATAATCCGTTATGGCGAGGGTTTGAGACGTTCAATCTATGAACCTGGTCATACATTCAGCTGTCAAAGGGATAGACATGGAACATGAGCGTATCTGGTATTAAAAGCTGTTTGATAGAGAATATAAACACAGTGAGGCTATAATATGCAGTTGTATGATCTATAACCCCGGCATGAAACCCTGGGGGTAGCCAAGTTCGTCTGCTCACGGCCATCCGTCAATAAACCGAAGCCATCTCCGGAGAAGCTGCACGGCGTTGCTTCTTGTTTTTAAGCATCCTATACGAGAAATACACGCCGGCAGCAGTTGCGATGAAGCCAAGTATACCGACAACTATACCTGCAATTTCTCCTCCTCGTAGCTTGTCTTCCTCCTTTGCGGGCGGGCTCATGTTGTTGTTGGATGAACTGGACTCTGACGTGGGCTCAGCAGGAGGAGTGGTTAGTGGAGTGTTTTGCTCACTCATGCTAGTGGGTGCCGGTGTTTCCCATGAAGAAGAACGAGTCGGCGCAGTGTGGGTGGGGGTTTGGTTATCTAATAGTACAATGATAAGTCACCCATGATGTAGAGGATATGAGGTGGAAGGCATGCAAACACAGATGTATAGATACAATACCTTCGGTTGTTGTCTGTCTAGAAGAGCTCCGGGTTTGGGATGCACTCGCACAGTAGTCCGTGTAGATCTTGACGGCTCGGGTCACATCAATGCTGTTACTCTCGCAATAGCTGTTCACGCATGCTGATAGATAGGAGGTAGCTGACACCTGCAAGTCCGGGCGACAGAAGCAGTCATTCATCAGCGGAGATGGACAGCTCAGCTCGTAGCCAATACGACTGCCGCCTAGAGAGGCCTCAAAACAGACATTCCGAGCACAGTTTCGTAAACTGCCGTATCCCTCCATCTGTTCGATGGACACAGGGCCATCTGCCAGGACCAGTGCCAATGCACCCAGTAATGGCACATGTAGGAGATAGTATAGACCCTGATTGAGCATGCTGGGCTGAGATGAAAGGAAGATGCCACAAGGTAAAGGGGATCTTGCGTGACAAAACGGACAAGCTGCGCGTATACACAGTAGATGAAGACGAAGCGAAGGAGAGAAGGGTCTAAATATGGCCCGGCATCCAACTTTGCACTCTGCTGATACCAAATATATGTATGTATTATAATTAGTATCTCCAGCCGCCACTGCATATGCATCTCGTATACGTCCAGGGGCCGGTAAGCCGCAATCACAGGACGACTCCCAGCATACACTCCGTGGAGAAGATCGAACGTATCTTGGCTTCTGTTTGATGTCCTTGGCCTGGGGCAGCAAAGGGAGAGCCGGGGGGATATCATACACCGTTCTGGCCATTCAGAATACCGGGTTTCTTGGTAGAGACAACGCCCATGTCATGCCCGGAGATGATATGAAGCTGGACGCCTTCGTTTGGTATCTCTATCAACCAGCCTTGCAGCAGGGGTTTGCCATGCGAACGGCGACCTGACCGTGCCAGAGACCAGGGAGTCCATGTCTCAAGCCGTGAGAACCTGCAGACTAAGTAGTTGTATCACAAGTAGGAGAGACTGAGATAGCTCGTAGAAGATGGCCTTTAGGAGGCCATCTCTGGCGAACCTGCATGCCCAGAAGGCGTTGCCTGGTATTTCAATGAGCGTTCAAGTCGACAGGATTAGCCATAAACTCAGCAGTATCTCAGAGGTAGAAGTACAAGAAGACGTTCGCTGTATATTCGCGGCGTTAGGTAGAAAGAAAGAATAAAGGCTGGATGTTTTGATATCAAGCCTCGGTTGTTTGTTTCTCCGTTGCTTTTTCAACGGCCAAAAGGCAGCAAAGATATTCACAGACAGCAAAGGACGAGACAGAAGAACGATTAGCTTGCCACGACGGTGGCAGCAGAGGCTACTGAGAATCTACTGGGGACCTGTTACTGCGAGAGCCGCAATCATGGACGCCAAACTGCTGAAGACAACCAAGTTCCCGCCGGAGTTTGCGAAAAAGGTGGACATGACCAAAGTCAACATCGAGGTGATGAAGAAGTGAGTGAGCTAGCCAGATACCTGCTATTTCTTTGCATTGCAGCCAGTCGTCCTAACGGTCCTTGTGTAGATGGATTGCAGAGCGGATATCCGTTATTCTGGGGAACGAAGACGACGTCGTTATCGAGCTCTGCTTCAACCTCCTCGAGGGCTCGCGCTTTGTACGTGGACAAGACAGTTTGGCTGCTCGTTGCCAATCGCCGCAAGGTCGAGTTTGATGGGCTAACTGTGTGTACATCGCTGTAGCCGAACATAAAACATTTACAGATCAACCTTACCGGATTCCTAGAAAAAGATACGGCGAAGTTCTGCAAGGATCTGTGGAACCTTTGCCTCAGCGCGCAAGACAGCCCCCAGGGTGTACCCAAGGAGCTGCTGGAGGCAAAGAAGCTCGAGTTGATGCAGGAACAGGTTTGTTCAGCTTCCATATATTCGCTAGCTAGCTACGTGTTTGGGGAGTACGTGTGAGCTGACTGGTGGATGCAGGCTGCCGCAGAAGAAGCACGTCGCCGGGAAGAAGCCGAGCAGGCTAGAGAACGAGACCTGGAGAGGATCAGACGGCGTGAGAGGGATGACCGTGGCCGTGGCAGAAGAGGCCGTGGTGGCCCTTCACGGGGGACTGATCGTTATGACAGCCGAGATTCTCCTTCGCCTCATCGACGGAGACGGAGCCCGCCAGCCTACAGAGACACGCCTCCCCGCCGGGCACCGGATATCTACGTCCCCAGCGGCGGTAGAAGCTACAGACGAGACAATAATAGAGGGCGTCGACCGTCAAGACAGCCATCCACCTCGCCATCTCGTTCACCATCACGTTCTGTCTCACCAGTTCGGGACAACCGTCGACACGACAGGAGGTCTCCAGAAAGACGGCGGCGGCGCTCAACTAGCAGTTCTCGCTCGCCGTATAGAGGTGCTGGCCGTGAGCGTGGCTGGAAACGAGCCCGCAGCCCTGCCCGTGACGATAACTCCAGGTCTCCGAGCCGTTCGCCGTCCAGAAGAAGACGGAGAAGATCCAGAAGCGAAAGCTCTGCCTCTCCGCCCCCTACTAGTAACCGTGCCTCGAGATCTCGCCGTGCATCTTCATCACGATCTCCGTCGAGGTCAAGTAGCGAGGGTGATCGGCCAAGCCGACGCCCCCGGAGGAGATCCCCTTCGTACCAACAAGGGTCTAGACGTGATGTACCTAGAGCTGATATTGCTAAAGATCGCAGAAGTCACGACCATCGCCGGCTTAGCCGAAGCCCAAGCCGCAGCCGCAGCCGCAGCCGCGGAAGATACCGCCGAAGACAGCGCTCGACCAGCAGCAGCTCATCAACGAGCAGCTCACGCAGCCGTAGTGGCCGGAGGAGGCATCAATCTATTGAAAGATATGCCCCGGCCGGACGCAGGTCGCGCAAGAACAGTTCTATCACCCCTTCACCTGCGCAGAAACGGCAGAAGATGGCTGATTCAGATGGAGAAACTGCCAGAAGTTCCCCTCAACCCGCTCAACATAAAACTGCTAAAGATAATGACACACCGGATAGGCCTCCAGCTACTGACGAGGTGGGTCAATAAACATGTTGGTATTATTTCCCCCATCCTGTACTCTAGTTTATCCGCAACTTGCCGGTGTTTTTATATGCATCAAAATACCAATGTCACTACTCAGTTCTGCTAACTGGATACCTGGCAGCGTCCGCCGCGGCATGTAACATCACGGCTTACCTCGACCGAGCTTCGAGAACGGCTCCTCAAGGAGAAGGTCATTGCCATTCGCCGGATGAGTGCACAGAAGGCCGCTGCCAAATCATCATAGCCTCTTGGTGAGCACAATCGATGGCGGTGCTTGGTCAGTTATCCTCTTGCTCGCCCTGGCCGAGACGTCTCTTTCCTCTTCTCACTGTCCAAGCTCTCTATCTTTCTTCTATCTTCGTCCGCCTTTTTGCTGTCGTTATTTGGAAGACCATCTAGGGATGCTCTGTATCGCCATCTTTCTTTTTACAAAAGCACTCACAGTATAATAGCTACAGACCCAAAATAACTACCTGGTACTACTCTAACGCTGTAGCCCTTTTCCAACCTGTAAACAGTGCATACACATCCTACAGCGTTTGCTGCTTGTCTTCCGTATCATCTTGTCTCTATGGTCGTTTTTGATATCAACTTTGGCGCTGTTGCTATGGAAACCGCTTCGTTTACCGCAATTCACGTGAGCGTCTTCAACATCAACTTCGAGAAAACCTCGAAAAACGGATTCGCGATGAACAACGTCGACAGCTCTCCGCCGCAGCAGAGAAGAAGAGGGAACCAGAAGGAAACACCAGTCGATGCATAGAGCAGCTTGTATATACTGACCGCCATGGCTTCTCCGACCCCGTTACCGACGGGCCACCGCAGATTCGTTCCCAGTTCACGCGTCGCATCCCACGCCAGGTACGAGACTGAATCGCAATGGAACTACAATTCAGAGCATCCCAGCATAATACAGTCGAGGGCAGAGTCGAGATCACGCGCGGCGCATGCAGATACCATTCCACTTGGCGATAGCTCAGATGACGAGGCTCCAGAGCCCATCGCGTTCAGCAAGTCTGTCCTGGCTATCCTGACAGACTCTCTACCCCAGGAAAAGAGAAACGGAGCTTCTGCGCTGCAGAAGGAATCGTCTAGCAGGAAATGGGATGGTGATTCGCCTCGCGGAAGCGAATCTTCGTCATCTTCGCGAAAGGGTGAAAGCCGAGGAGGGGCTTCTAGCTCTACGAATACCACCAGCAGACACGACGGAAGCGATCTTGTTACCCCAGCACCTCGACAGCGTGTGGTCCGCGTATCACGGTCTCGATCAGGCAATAACCAAACTCCATCTCCCAGAGCCTCGCCTGATCGCGAGTACAGGGCCAAGCTCGATGATACCCACCATGAATCACATTCTCCCATGAGGCAGAGAGTACACGTATCCAGGGATAGCGCTGGCGCTGCTGGCGAGAGGGCCGCGCCACGGAGCATATTCAGACCAAGGAAAAGCGATGAAGTGATGGGGATGCAAAGCTCGATCAGGGTGAAGCGCGTGGGGAAGCTGACTGGTGAATTTTTGAATGGCCCTGCCCGCAGAGGAATGCTACCTCGTCGTAGCGAAGAGCGGCAGTACGACGAAAGTGAGGAGCAGGCGGGAGACTCAGATGCTGAAAGAGGCGAGAGATTACAGCGTCGTAGCCCTTCTATACCGGCGTTGGAACACTCCGCCGGGAGAAAACACTCGCCCGCCAGATTCGATCAGCGGCAACCGTCTCCGGTGGGCATTCGAACGCCCCCCCATCAACCGCCTTATCAGGATGACCTGTATAACAGAGAAAGCAAGTCAAAAGCTCCGCGTGTCTCGAGCCCAGCATACCCAACCCCAGATTTAGGAGTAATGTCAAGGTCAAACCCCAGGCAGTCAGCACCTTCTGCTGATATTCAGTCGTATCATGTTCCGCCGCTACCACAATTTTCTGCAAACCGTGAACAAGAGAATGAACCTCCACCAACCTTCAAGAAATCTAAAGCCCAACACTTTGATATGCTTGATAGAGTTGACAAGCCATCCATCAAGCAAGATCCTCACCGGCACTCCCATAGGTCCGCCCCGCAAGACCTGGATAGGAAACCGCTCGGGAGCATGAGTACCAATGTCCCAACTCCTCACAGAGCTCCTCCACCGCCTCCAAAGATGACTGTACTTGAAACAGCTACTGCTGCAGCGGGGGCAGCGTCCTCGTCTAGTTCTCGACGAAAGAAGGCAATTGTGACTGTGAATCACAAGGCCTATACCCGGCTAGACTGTATCGGCCGGGGTGGAAGCTCTCGAGTGTATAGAGTGATGGCGGAGAATTGCAAAATATTTGCTCTGAAGAGGGTAAATCTGGAGCATGTCGATCCAACGAACCTTGCAGGATACAAGGGTGAGATTGATTTGCTCAAGAAGCTAGAGAAAGTCGAACGAGTAGTACGGCTCCTAGATTATGAGATAAATGAAGAAAAGGAAACGCTCAGCGTACTTATGGAAATGGGGGAATCTGACCTCCACACTGTGATAAGACTGAAGGTGAATGCGGAAGACTCCGTTTTTGATCCCTCATTTGCACGGTTTTATTGGAAGGAAATGCTTGAATGCGTGCAGGCAGTGCACGAGTATGATATTGTCCACGCAGATTTGAAACCGGCAAACTTTCTCCTCGTGAAAGGGAAGTTAAAATTGATCGATTTTGGCATTGCTGATACCATCGAGGACCACACAGTCAACGTCCACAGAGAACATCAAGTTGGCACCCCGAATTACATGGCCCCTGAAGCCATAATTGATTACAATGCCACGATTGGCCTTCCATCATCAGCTGGTAAAATAATGAAGATAGGAAAACCAAGTGATGTCTGGAGTTTAAGCTGCATCTTATATCAAATGGCATATGGCCGAGCTCCCTTTGGCCATCTAGCAAAGCAAATGGAGCGTGTTCTATGTATTGCCAACCCAAAAGTGGCGATTGAATATCCTTCTACAGGGGTTGGCAGCGCCGTCATCCCACCCAGTCTCATACGTACCCTCAAGAAGTGTCTTCAAAGAGACCCCACGCTCCGTCCAACCACTACACAGCTTCTGGATAGATCAGACCCCTTTATATATCCACCTGCTTACCCCGAGGGTGCAGTGCCTGTGACTCAGGAAGCGCTTGGTATGGCCATGACCAAGATAGTCGGTCACTGCCGCTTACACGGCATACCAAGGGATGAAGAAGTAATAGGATGGTCTGCTGGGCTCTTCCAAAAGCTACAGGCATCGGCTGAGCAAGGATACAATCCATAAATTCACTCTTCCTATTCCATTGGCCTTCTTTCAAACAAATTTGGAATTCTTTTGGTGCTGGAGTTCAATTGGTCTGCAACGTGATGTATTCATCTCAGGAGTAGTTGGTGGTTTTGGATTTACTGCTGCGTTGGAGCCCTGTTTGACCTACATTGTTTTATAGTTTTATATCCTCGCTGTTTTTGTGTTTATTGGGGATTACTTATACCACCACGCCGCTACGGACTGTCCATTTAACTGATAATAATGATATTGTATACATACTTTTCTTTTCGTTACTTTCATTTGAAGTCGTCGAGTCGTAGGCCTGGTTAAAGATAATAGATTCTCCGTCAAGGTAAGAAAAAGGGCGAAAAATTCTCTAACTTAGGATATTGTACATGTATGCTTAATAAAATACACAAGGCATGAAAAAAGCCCCAATCAGTATCCTTCCCCCGGTTCCCAACACCTGATTGATACCTAGCAAACTGCAGCGTGGGATGGCGAGCTGATTGAAATTGCTCAGTGTATATCCCCACTGCCTAATAGACACGTAAACGCTCAATGACCAGGCCTATATTTCACTGGTCTACTATCTTCGCTCCCTCTGCAAGTAGCTCGTCTAGCTGCTTGACTCTGACATCCACCACTTTCAATATGGTGTACTTGTGTTTGCTCTTAACTCGTTGCACATGTCTCTGTCGTCTCTTTGTCTTCTCCTTGATCCGCAGTGGCTCAGCTTCCACCCCCATTACGCGGACTCGGCATTCAAAAAGCCTTTCATCCAGATAAGGAGCACCCTTCAGAGTAAAGTCCCGTGATCCAATATTCGACGCTCTATTTAAGCGCAGGACGTCTCCGGCCTGGACATTTGGCATGCGAAATGGTAGTCGAAGGGTATCACCGGCCGTGAGTAGGTATGGCCGTGCATGTAAATGAGCAGTTATATAATGTGAGGGCTGAGTGGCAAGGTCTGGAAGAAGGGTCGTGATTGCCGGTGTGAGTTCCAGAGGGTTTGTGAAAGTAGGCGGTACTGCTGGTTTCGCAGCGGGGATCGGAATCGAAGCCACCTCTGGGATCGAACCAGAAGGAAGATGGGCGAATCGTTCGGTGTTTTGTGTCTGCCCTTGCGGAGGTATTTCGGGCTGTGTAGCTTTGAATTGGGAGCCGCTTGTAGCTTGGTGAAGACATCGGTTGTTGGTAAAAAAGAGCGACGCACTTGAAGGAATGGATGTAATCGCTCGTAGCTCACGGGTGTTCCGTAGAACAGCCCTTGAAAACATCTTGACAGCGTATGACCGGAGACGCTGGCGTTCAATTGAATCCGCAATCGAACTTCTCTGCTCTTCTTCTTCCTCGTCGTCTTCGCTCGTTTTCGTAGAGAGAAATTTCATGATAAAAATGGTCATGTGACCTATAGCTTAAAATCACGTGACTCTCTTATCGATCGAAGAAAGTAGGAAAAAATTATTGATTTCGACGTCGAGAAATTCAAGCAAACATCTGAGAGAGCAAAGGACACGAACGACGGCACCAAGAGTCGAAGATGGTAAGTTGGTGGCGGCTTCGTTCTCTAGTGCGCTCAATATATACTGGATGAATCAGCTAACATTTCTACTTACCAGCCGCAAAACGAGTTCGTTACCTAGTTTCCCTCTCTTCACGGTACATATAACTAATGGCACTGCGGGCAGATATATCGAGAGATGGCAGAAGCAACATGGGCGCCGGTATGTGGTACTATTTCTTTAACAGGAGACATGAGTTATGCCAATAGCCCAGTCTCATGTTCTAAATGAGGGCAAAGTCGCCTGTTCCTTTTGCTAATATTGAATACAGCCTCGACCACGAGGAGAGGACCCGAAAACGTATTGCCCGTGAATCGCACAAACAATCGCAGGACTCCCAGAAGCTTAAAGGCCTACGAGCTAAACTCTTCCACAAGAAACGCCATGCCGAAAAGATCCAGATGCGAAAGCGCATCAAAGCCCAGGAAGAGCGGAATGTCAAATCTTCAGGCGAACCAAGCGAGCCATCGTCTACACCACTGCCAAACTACCTTCTCGATCGTTCTCAACCTACTACTGCGAAAGCTTTGTCTAGTGCGATCAAAGACAAGCGTGCCGAGAAAGCAGCGAAGTTTTCTGTCCCTTTGCCAAAAGTTAAGGGTATAAGCGAAGAGGAGATGTTCAAAGTCGTCAAAACGGGAAAGAAAATCCAGAAGAAAGGATGGAAAAGAATGGTCACCAAACCTACTTTCGTTGGAGCTGATTTCACCCGTCGACCAGTCAAATATGAAAGATTCATCCGGCCTATGGGTCTTCGATACAAGAAAGCCAACGTTACTCACCCAGAGCTTGCGGTCACTGTCCAACTGCCTATTATTAGCGTGAAAAAGAATCCACAAAGTCCGATGTATACACAACTAGGTGTCTTGACCAAAGGAACTATCATCGAGGTCAATGTGTCCGAGCTGGGGCTCGTTACCACTGGAGGAAAGGTGGTATGGGGTAAATGGGCACAAATCACAAATAACTGCGAGAATGATGGATGTGTTAATGCGTAAGTTCCGCCCTGCTGGTCCCCTCAAGACTGGGTTATACTGACTAAGTTACCATACAGTGTCCTGCTTGTTTGATATACCCTTTGTCTTCTGTCTTCTTTTTTCTTCTTTCTTGGCGACGATTCTTCCTGCATTGTCTCTCTTCAGCGGTTGAGGCTGTGTGGCATTCCTGTTTGTATTCCCTGTTGGGCGTATAACGGCGAACGCACTCCGAATGCTCACGTACTGCAACCCCACTGGACGCATGTTGGCTGAAAGTAAAATCCTGAGACTTGACTGAGACACGGGATGTGAGGGGTGGGATTCAGAGGAAGTATGCTATTCAAGTATGGCGTTATGGATAAACGGCCTGGTTGTAGAAAATACAATAGAAAAGCATGCAAGTTGGGGCCAGAATCTTGGAGCTACGAGCCATGACATTACTATGTACTACTCGCTTTGACCAAGGTCTGAATGATTACTCCGTACTCCGTACCGAGGTTACATTTCCAGTAAGCCTGTCGCAAAAAGTCATGACTTCGTTGTCTGTTACTTACATAGTGAGTAGAGTGTATATAACAATAAACCTCCGCTACCTGTTGAGAGAGACATGTAATGCATGACACCCTCCCTCCCCAAGACACTCCACCCTCCCAATGCCCAGTTGCATCCGCAATAAGACTTTGATGCAACGCGGAGATAGCCATTATATCGTATTAATTATCGGCACGAACATTAAATCACTTCTGAGAAACACAAACCCGCCTTTGGCACAATACCTATCATGTAGCAGATCTAGACATCAGGGAGCCATTGCCCTGTGAGCGCCTACGTATGATGCTGGCACTCGAAGCTGAGGCAGCTGGAGATACCAAGCCAGATTTTGCAGTTGGGAGGCTAAATCGAGGATGCATCCCGGCACATCCTGATAGATTTTCGTACTCATCAGAGCCATAATATCCATCTCCCTGCTGTGACGTATGGCTGGGCGCCACAGACTGCCCGCGGAGATGGACACCAGGCCGGCCGTACCGACGGTCAATGAAGCCCGCATTCGGCGAACGATAGAGGCTCAAGTGGTCTATGGGCTTTTGAAATGCCGGCTTTTGAGGTTCGTTGCGTATAAGTTTGGCCACCCCGTCAAGGCTATCTATAGCAAAGTCCAAAAACTCTGCATCTTTCCGGCTGGCGCTCAAGGTCCATCGATATTCCCGTAACCGGGCTCTGTAGAATTCCTCCTCCTCCTGGGTCGGTGCTGTGGTTTGCAGTAAGACCCCGAATGCACCGATGAGAGCGAAATTACTCTTTGCAGCTGCAGGCCAGAATGCTCGTAAATGAATGGGTCTTAGTCGGTTTACGAACTCCATGGCAGATATGAGACGGGTCTTTGCCGCAGATCGACATATATGTATAAGATACTGATCGGCTGTCTCAGGCGAAATGGACCGAACAATGCATCTGTGAAGCATGATTTCTGTTGCAAAATAGGCCAGATGTATGCCACCACTTGAGCCAGCTTCCACGCCGCAATCAGCGTCTACTTTCAAATCAGCAGGCAATTGGCCAAACCAGTCCTTTAGCTGAATTTGAAGGGGTTTCGCCTTCGATAGGATGGTATAGATACGGTTCTCTCGGGATGCAGATAATTGTTGGGTGGCTTCGAGGGTATAGAACGATTCGATGATATCGGATAGTATGCGAGTCAGCTTGACGAGCTGACAGAAGAACAGACACCCAAACTCATGATTAGAGGGCGATGAATGAATGGGGAGAGAAACAAGAGAAGCAGTGCAAGCTGCTGAATGTGTGGTATTTTCAAAATCATCTATGATTAGGTCCTTTACTGCCCAGTCGGATGCGAATATATGTGACGGTCGGCTATGCACCAATGCACACCATTTATCTTGCATATATAGAGCCCAGGCTAACCTCTTCCTCAACCCTTTTTCCCAACTTTGTATCTGCCAGCTAGAGCAGTCTTGGTGCAGACCCAAATCGAACCCTGCTGTTACCAGCTGGGCCACCAACCTGGGTGTGAAGAACGAAGGTTTTTGTGAGAGAAGCAGGCCAGCTTGAACTGTGGCTAGTTGAGGCCGTGAAAGGGACTCGTTAAGACTCCTACAAACCAGAGTCTCAAGCCCAATGGCATCTGGCGGGCGCAACGTTTGTACCCCGGACTTAGGCTCTAGCCATTTCAAGGCAATGAGGTAGACAGCCCCCAAAAGGAGGGCCGGAATGTCTTTCCTTTCTTTGTATGCAGTTCGGAAACTGTCTTCCACTATAATTGGAAGTGTTGGATGAACATGTTTAAAGTATTTGTCTAAAAGAGCTGGCCCAAATGGGGTGACTAGGTTTTCGACGGTTTCTAATGAAACAACTGAAGCATCCTCTCTGTTGGAACAGCCTTCGCGTGAGCATAGCCAAATCCGAGCTGATGTTACTTGACTATCGTTAGTCCAATCCTGTGGAAGGAAGTCCACGAATAGGGGCTCTATCTCGGCGGCCATAGTATTGCGAAAGTTGGCGGATGGTGTCTCCCTTGAATCAATGGCAGTCACCAATGGCCTCTGTTGGTAGTCCGTTATGATTTCAGACACTGGGGACGGCAAACTGTCCTTTGCTTGTCTATAATTCGCATGGTCAATCGATAAGATGTTAGCAATCAGCTCTAATAGGGCGATTCCCTCCTTGTAAACTCAAAGAGGTAGGGGATATAGAAATTTCGTCATGCATGGAGAGCTACCTCTTTACACAATCGGCAGCATCTGGACTAGGGTTGCCATATTTCCGCTTTCCTGCTTGGTTATTTGTGTAGAACGTACATTCCTGGCTGTTGGAATGACGCGCGCAACGTATGCTAGTATTTCGTTTCATGGCGCTAAGAGATCTCTTCTGATAGCAGACATCGCATGCACCTATCCCAGCACCATCAGCTGGGAATGGGGGCGTTCCAGGAGTTGAGACAGGGAGTGGATCCTGTGGCTGCGCAAGATATGTGTAGTGCTGTTGATTTGGTACTTTTTCGCGACTCGTTGAACGACTGGGCTGTACTCGAATAGGCCGGGAAGAAATGAATGTGGCTGCTGTGGCCATGACAAGTAGAAGATAAACAGGCACTCTGTAGTAGTATCGTCTATCTTGGTTTGTTCTTTTCGCTCCTATTTCACGTTTTTCTTGTTCGTTCTATCTTCTTCTACGGGTATAGACTCTCTTAGTTTTCTGCGGAAAGGTAACGAGATAGGGACAAGCGGAATTGAAAACAACGATTTGCCTAGTTAATTAATATCTCATATACGCGAAACCTTCAGTTAAGGATGGCCGCGATTTTTCGATAAGGAATAGCAGGTTTCGTTAAAATTCCAGGACACCCACGAGTAGCAAAAAGCGACAGGAGATTCGAGGGGGCACAATTATGCGTTGAATTTCAAATTCCCCCAAATAATCGTCGGTAAGAACTGAGAGAAATGTACTTTTTATTGTTTTGGTTTCATTGGGTAGTTATTCTTTTTGAACTGGTCGTTTTGCTCCTCGCACGGGCTCTTAAGCAAACAGTGTCTCCCCGATTTCTATTATTAATGAATACCGGCGATCAAGTTGAACAGCAATATGATGGACGTAAGAGGAAATATCTCCTAACTGCCCATGCATTTGCAGCAAGTTTCATCATCACTGTTTTGAATTAATTACCGGAGCTATGGTACAAAAGCGGTGCAGAGGACGTTTTACAGGGAGCCGGGCTTCGGAATGTAAAATTTGTAATTGGAGAAGATAAGTACCGCTTTTCCTATTGGATTATTGTCCCCAGAGTGCCAGCGAAAGACCAAGGATTACTTAATTACTGATACATAATAGCGCCCTGGCCCCTGCAAATGATGGATGTCGCTTGGAGGAGAAGATGCCGAAAGTCGCCCTGAGCGGCTGAATCAGCAGCCTGATGTCCAATCAAAGTTACTAGATAAGCTTTAGAGTTACACACAGACCACTTTATTTAAACCTCAAGGCTTAAACACAGTTCTATTTTTAGTATGAGAAATTGACATAACAACCAATACCAAAGCCAGGTACGATGTTTTAGATGCCGAAATCTAAAGCTGCAACAAATTGTATTATATACTGAACGGGGATAAACGCACGGAGCCAACTCGGCGGCACAAGGCCGAAAAAAAATGTAGGAATCCATGGAGAGATTGAGGAAGAACGACCAGTAGGGAGAAAAATGCGCCAAGAAGGGTTTAATAGGAAGAAATGAGGTGATGAAATAAAATATTCTGGTATCAAATAAACGCAGGAGGGCTGTCTAGCTAGTTCATAGCTTCAGCATTAATAACCGCCTACCTTCCCCTTGGTAATGCTATCATACATCTCCCACTCTCCGACCTCTGGGAAGTTGTCCAGGTCACCCTTAGTCAAGGGCTGGACATCACGCTTAGCAATGCGGATCTCTAGTCCTTTACCACCATTGGACTTGACAATGTCCTCGATCGGAATGACATTCCCATCTTGATCCTGGATTTCCCAAGTGAGGAATTTGCTTAGGACGGGGACCACAATGGTGTCATCCAAGCCAAGAATGGTGCTGGAAGAGAGTAGAGCAGCGAGGGCTGGCGAAAGCGGGACCTCTCCAGCAACCATACTAGGGTCTGGCATACCCATTCCATGAACGAATGTTGCATACGAACCTATCAGGTTGGGGGCATAACTCCAGGTATTCGAGTCCTTTGGCGGGTCTCCCATGAAGAAGTGGATACTGAAGGGTCTGCCCACTGCGCTCCTATTTAGGTTTGGCGTTAGCTTTTGAATGCACGGTACTCCTCGTCCTAACTGACTTACTTGTTAACCCTGATTTTGATAACCCACTGCTTCTTCATGTTGTTGACACCCCATTCGTCAAATCGATCCAAACTTTGGCTGATCGAGTCACCGATGGCCTCAACCATATCAAAGGCATCGTCCAACATACTCTCAAAGCTAGCTCCCCCACCGTTGGTCGAGTGGCTTTTGTTACTGTCTCGGATATGCGAATCGTACATTTGGGTTCGACGATGGATTGTGGCCCGCTTCGCAGCTTGTTGGGATGGGTTGTTGTACAATTCGTTCACATGTCGCCGAACATTTCTTTGCAGATCCGCCTTGCTGACACCCCAGTCTTCAATTTCCGGATAGGTATACCCGAAAGTCCTGGTGTACCGTGCGCTGTTGGCAGTATAGTATGTGTTGCCATCCGCATGAAATGGGTACAAGGCTATGTGAAGCGTAATGTCAGCATTACAGTAACCAAAGTACTTTCCCATATTAAAGGTACGTACGTGTGTTTCCATCTTCTATAGTTCCTCGCTCAGTCATATATGCGCCTCCTTCGTTCGGCACTCGTGCGACGTATGAATCAGGATAGATGGCTTGCCAAAGTGCAATGAGTCGATCAACATTGCTATTTGGTGTTAATTTTTAACCTCAATCCAACAACATTATTGTGGATAAACTTACGCATGATGAAGCCAGAAAATCGGATCATAAGAAGACCATGGGATGTAGGTCATGTGGCCCTGGCCACCGACCAAGCCGTGAACATATCCGTGTATAGTTTCGACATTGTTATACCCGTCACGGTCTGGCAATGCCTGGGTTGAGAAGGTACTGTAATCCGACTCGCTGCTCAAAAGTTGGTAGACACTCGAACGAAGACTGGGAAAAAGTTACAGGAGGTTAGTTCCATACCACTATATTGAAGGGAGAAGCTTGCATTGGGATGCCTTACGATGCGCCATTTGATCTCATTGCTCTGATTGCCCGGTCATTTTGGGATTCACCGTTTCCGTCAGGATATCGAGTAGAATGAGGGATAGATGTAAACTGAAATCCAGCAAGGAATTGTCAGTTAAGGACCTTCAAGGGCATTTGTATTAGAAAAAAAAAATTCTTAATCGAAAACTTACCCCATCCCCTGCTGGGAACCCTTTTTGTACCGAAGGCTCGAAATTGTACTGATACAGAGGGTTCTCGATGCTTTGCATGCCAGTAGGAGTATTTATCTCGATTTCAGGGGTAGTCATAGAGCGAGGAACATCAGGGTTGCTTGCCCAATCCCAGTATGGAATCCTCAGGGTCCTTGCAGCAGTAACGTATTTGGCGCGATCTTCCTCCGGGTAAGAGGCAGCTATTCTCTGAGCATGTGTCCAGATAACTTCCTATATATATTCATTTTTTAGTAAAGTTGGAGTGCGGCTTTTTGCTTTAACATATCTAAACCATGCCTACTGACCTCATGAAGAGCCAGGTAAGGCCTGTGCCATAGAGGGAACAAAGTGGAGTCATGCAAGCAATATCCCTGCTCGCGAGAGGTACGCTCACCACCATCCCATGGCCCATACGGCAACCCGTGGACACCTGATCATAACTTATTAGTGGTTTATAGATGATAAGGGTAGATGGTGGCCACCTACTTGCAATAGAGTACTGGCTGCGAATTTCCTCTTGGTCATCGTATTGGGCAGCACGGAGAGCTTGTATATAAAGATCGAAAGCCGGTCCGGAAAACTCCCATGTCGCAAGATTCTTTCTAGATGGCCGTTCGCCAGTATCATGGTTGACACCTTCTTGGACTCCCCTAATTGAAACAGTTGCAAATGCTGGTAGAGCTATGCAAAGCAGAAAGGAGAGGACAGTAAGCCCTCTCCATAATGAAGTGGCCATTTGAACGAACGGTAGCCTCTTCAGGTGCTGGAACTCTCAGCGCAGGATGGATTGATTGAAGAGAAACGAAAGTAATTTGAGTAAATTAATATATACTGTAACGGAAAGGTAACGATCGTGAGAAAGGAGAAGAGGAAAGGATGCTGAGCGAAGGAAAAGAATGAATTTGTGTTGGATAAATAGAGGGAAGGAAACGAGTGATATAAGAAAGATAAGAAAGAAAAGAGAAAGGCAAGAGATCAAGTATTTGAAAGATGGACTATAACGGTCTCGACCTCACCGAAGGCTCGGATGTCTTAACCCCAATGGCAAGCCGAAAAGAAAAGCATTTGCTTCCTGGGGCTTAAAATATCAACACATTTGATATATATGAGGCTTTCGGCGTTGAGAAAATAAATGCGTGGAGCTTTTCCCCCTGCCTCCGGCGCTAAAAATACCCCCTTCTTGGTCTTGGACGCACTGCTTTTTGAAGATCGTCGTGGCGGCAAGGTACATACGTACAACGAAAATGCCCAATTCGTGACTATTTTGTTTAGTGGCCAAAGGGTGTGGAGAAAAAGAGCTGTCAGGAAGCAAATGGAGTCTCTTATGCTGTTCCAACTCGCCTTAAGTACACACCTCATGCGTGGAAACCGCATAAAGAGGTAATCACTTCGCTGGAGGATGTCCTTTTACCCTGCTTCCCCCTTCGAACAAACGTTATTCACAATTGGCCTAGCGTTTTGCTTTTTTGTTGAGGGTACGTGTGGAAATTGTCCAACTTCTGTCCCATTTCCGAGTGTGCTGGTGCCATAACTAGTTAATGGAAAGCTTCATGAGCTCGGTAACCAAGAATCGGATTGGTATGTCATACACTAGCGAGTATATGCGGGGGCACCATCTTTGGTACAAGCATGGAGTCAGCAGGAGTACTCCGTACATAAACAAGCCTTCTTCAACTTGTTCAGCCCCTGACTTCTGCAACCCATGGTGTACCCACAGGCAAGGGTGAAAGATCGGCAGCCAAGTTAAATCTCGTTGGCGATGCCCCTGTTTTAGCGCCTGCTGCCGATGTGGCTGTGATTCTGGCCGATAATTGGACAGATAGATGTTGGATTCGCCATTAGGACTGGAAGACAAAAGAACCCTGCCTCCGGGCCTGGAGCTGTTGGATGAAATATATATATATATCCATTAATTATTGCATTTCCCCTTGTAGCTGTATATTCAGAAAATGCGAATATCGAAGTGAACCAGGCTAACGAGATGCAATATCGTTTGTGTACTCCGTATGCGGGATAACCATGAATCTCCCTCGCCTGCGAGACAGAAAACGGGATCAACTGTGTACCGGTTATAGCGGAGTACCTTATACGAAGAGGAGCGATGTCTGATGACGCTCGCAAAATACTCGGTGTGCATCTCCTGTACATCCGTAGGCGGCCACTGGCGACTAAAGGGGGAAGAATAAGCTCAGGGCCCATGGCATCTGCTTTAAGAGCAGTGATTTCATCCCCCTGGCGTCGCCCGACAGCTGGCCTAGCTGAAATCACCGTTAGCTGATGCGCAAAGTACTAGTTCCTCGGTAGGACGGCTTTCCGCCAGATAGTGCACTGTAGTTATGCTGGGCAAGGGGGGGAAGAATGAATGAATGTGACGTGGTGGCTATCACATTATTCGCCATGTACAAAAGCACAGAAAATCTGATCTAGCAGGCAAGGACATGGCACAGACGAAATGTGCCGACTGTTTGATGCTCGTACGGGAACGCTGGACATTGCAGCGTTGGAGACACAGGAATCCTGATGGTGTCCAAGGGAGAATTCGCTATCACACTCTTGCGTCACGGTGAGCCAGCCTGGGAGCTGAGGTGGGTGGTACAAGTTGAACGAAGAACTCCTGGACCTAAGAAAAAGCAAAAAACAGGGGAAAAAAGCAAAAAGAAAGCAAATACCAAATAGCCTCCCTCCAAGTTGGCTGATGGCGTACAACGAGATGCAACTTTTCTTCTGGCAGCTTCGTGTGCTGTGCCTTGATCAGCCACGGCGTGAAACATGCGTCAGAGCGGAAAGGAGGGAGAGAAAATTCCATTATTCTCGGGGATGGATGGAGGGATGATTCGTAAAGACTTGGTTACGGTTTGCGGTAAAGAAAATAAGCAGCGAGGAGCAGTTTTTGAGACATTTGATAAACAGAATGAAAACTTGCGAGTCAAGTTATCCCAGCCCGTGCGGAGTACTATGTAGCTAATATTGGTTGCATATCATTATATACTTCGTATGGCAGAGTAAGCAAGGAGGGAGTAACTGATACGCCGTACTCCGTACACGCCTTCCGGTTTGTATCTCTAGGATACGTGGAGGATTCTGTAATGAGGATACCAAAGCCTATCTGGAAGGTCTGTCCTTTGTCCTTGTCCAGCCACCGTCATAGGTCAAGGCCAGCAGAACATGCAGACTTTATATACCTAGCATATTACTCCGTACGCTGTTCTGCCCCTGATGTGTCGCGCGTTGAGATTTTGGGGAGCAAGACATAGCAACCACGTTAGAAGAGATGCGTGACTGCAAGCCACCTCTTCACGAGAACCATGCTGACTGATGGTTAACGAAATTGCTTCTCAAGCGCCTCGGGGAATTTACTAGTGTCAGGGCGGGTGGCCATGGCGTGGGTCGCAGCGGGAAGAGAGATGAAGATCGATAGTCTGAGAAGTCGGCTTTGCCAATAGAAGAATGTCTTATGCTAGCTGAAACGCCAAACGCTGTTAACGGTAGGTATCATCGGGGAAAGGGTCGGCGCCGAGAGAAAAGGAGGCTATCGGCACGCTCCGAGGGGGAAGAGGGTGGCTTGACTGCATCACCATGTCCAGAGTAACCACAAATACCACCCGAGAGACATAACGGCAACCCACTTTGTAGATGACACAAGCTCCTCTCGAAATACCTGAAAAGGACGCAGACTTGCCCGGCTGGAAAGACCCCTCTCCAGAGAGGGTTCCGCTATGGCAGAATAACCGTTATTGTCCATGACGCCCCATCCTGACCGTCGAGATCGTGTGTTATCGCCCGATGGTATCGTTGATGCAACCTGGTCTGCAACTCCACCGTTTCCTTCAGCGGGTCCTCCAACGGTTTGGGCCGCCTTGAAGCCACGAGCTTCATAAGGTAAGGTCGTACTAGCAGCCCTGGTTCGGGTCATGGAATAGGCCCCTCCGATTGAATTGGACGACGTCGTCGACGGTGATGCGGCGGGGAACTCAGTCGAGCGGGGATAGTAGTCATTGATAGGCCGCCGGTAAGCTAAGGGCAATATCGAATCCGTGCTGGTAGTAGACCCCACTTTATGGCGGTAGGAAAGATATATGGAATGTGAAAGGAGAGCCAGGACAGTGAGTGCAAAGGTGTAACCATATACAATGAAAATGGATATTTGGTTAGGGAGCAGACACATCTGGTTTTGCAGAGTTGTCGAGGAGCCAGGGAGACCAAGAGGACTACCTGATTTTGGGTCAATGGGGTTCCACAGCGTCACCAGCTGGACGGCTGGCACTCTGACGCCCATTGCCAGAGACATGCTCTTCACTGTCACCTCCTTTGGAGCTCCGCTAAACTCGGTATGAATAATCTCGCAGTAGTCATGGTCATCGCCCGAATATACTTGCATAACCGGCCCCGCTTTGGTCATGATTTCGTTTGATATCATGGCGGTTAAGACATTCTGGTACTGATACCCCTTGCTGATGGGGATCGCGTTTCTCTCATCTTTGTCTGGCAAAGGATTGGTTGACGATGGAGGCCAATGCTCGCGCAAAGGCCCACATGGGGTGTGTGGTTCCCTATACAGGGGAACATGTGTGAGAAGGATTGTTGGAAGCTGTGTATTTGGATCTGGGGCGGGTGAATCGTTGCCTGCCAACGCAGATAGCTCTTGTCGTAGAGCCTCCTGCTTCAGGGTTTTCATATTGTCGAGAAATTCTTGTGTCTCATTCCATACCTCCGTTTTCGCTCGATTGCCGGTGTTTGACCCCCCTGTCTCTGAATTCTCCTGGTCCTTTGCACTGTACGAGACCGAATCAATTGAGATAATTGTGTGATTCCCCACGATATCAACTCGGTTCGATTCTCCAAAGACAGAACGGAACCTGTGGACAACTGGCATTTGCACACCATTACCAAAGCCGATATCATGGTTCCCCGGTAACCCGGCTACCATCCTCCTTCCACCATGGCTTGACTGGGATCCATGTCCCCCTAACCCCCAGGTATCCAAGAATATTCTTGAAAATCGCTTGTGGTCTTTCATCCAATAGTCATTACCGTAACCCTTGAATCTGGGATCCGGGCTGGAATATCCCTCTGTGCCCCATTCTCTTCCTCCATCAAAGAGATCACCAAGAAAGAATGTACTGTCAGGCTGGAGGTACTTTTGAAGTAGTGAATGGGTCCGGTACAGATACAAGTCTGCATAAAACTCAGTTAATGAGGATAGCGGCCACAGTCGACCAGGATAGGTGTGTGCATCAACAAGTTGCGGATCGGCTATGAAAACAATGTGATGAGGTCTGGCATTTGGGGGCTAGGTAGATGAAGCAGTATGTTAGTATTAACCAGCGCAAAGCAAGAGCAAAATGGACAGCAGGGCGGCTTCTCACCCATTTTTCCCAATGACTCCAATTGCAAGCCTCCAGACTCTCTTTGAATACAGTTCTTTCTCCCCACCAGAGCGTAAGTCCCCACAACAAGACCAGCGCAGTGCGAATAGTAAAGAGTGTCTGAAGAAGAGTCTTAATCACCCCTGTCCGGCCGGTGCGTCTTGTAGTGAAAGTAGATATGTTTCCGAAGAACGCAATGCGAGTTCTAATTCGGTCAGCCCCCCATCGGAAGATCGCAGGTAGCCGCTGAGAGATCTTTTCAAGCGTAGTTGGTTCGGCAAAAGGACTGCGGCTGGAATAGTCACTATGCAATAATGTCATGGCTTGCTGGGTTTTTAGTATGGAACAAAAAGGAGATATCTACAAAATAACGGTGCAATCCATAGGAAGCAAAGAAAAAAGAAAGACAGCAATGACAACAAGCAAACAAACACATAGAGGTATTCTGGAGGCCTGATTATCCTCCGGACGGGTGTGGGTGTTTTCTTCCAAGTCGGCAATCTCCCCTTTGGATGTTTATATGAAATATTTGGGCCGCGCAAACGTCGAGCTTCAGGCCGACACGTGATATTATCGATTAGTCACCATGTCACCATGTTGCCAATAGTCATGTGATATTGCTTATTAATACGCACTACTCTTCGGATTTTTTCGAAAGAAGGCGTTGATGTTGATAGGGAGAAGAACAGATGACGTTTCGATCATTCGATAATTGGGGGGTGGCAGTGCCGGCAAGGTTGTTAGGGTGCGTGGCTGTGGAGACTGAGGTCCGTATAAGACTTGGGAAGAGGTGCGCTGGAGTATGCCTGGAGGAGTTGGACGTTTTACCCGCCCCTTGGACAGAGCTACGAAGAGTACGGACTACTCTATATCCTATCTTATATCAGCTCTTCGAGGCTTTAGATTAGAGGCCTTGGTATTCAGACTTTCTGCTTTTTGAGACTGACATTCATCTCGTGTACGGAGTACGGAGTGCTCCGTATCTCTTGTATTTCTCCATGGCTCCCTTTGCCCCATTCTCTCCCCTTTCATTCGTAGTTGAGGCGTTGATTATTTTTATCCAATTAGCTTGCCCAGCTCGTATTTGACCTGGTATTAAGCTTTTCTCATTACTGGAAAAGACACTCCTGAGCTTGATGGTGGACAGTCAGCGCTTGGGAACCCACCCAGATGATGTGAATCAGGAGCTTGCAGGGCTATCCTGGAGGCCTCAAGCGAGCAGGTTGCATCCCGGGATGTCCGCGACTTCAGCGGAGGGAGCGAGCCGTATATTTTCGAGGGCAATAATAATAACCTCAAGTGATCTGGATCTGCATCCTCCGTACGGAAGAGGGAAATCAAGATCATGCCTAGCAAAAGCATAACGTGCAACGATAGTGCTAAGACTTTGCCACTAAGGCTTGTAGCACATCTTCACGCACATCGACCAGCCAGCATTGATAGAGAGAGGATGGTTGCCAGCAAGAATGGGAAGAATCTCGTATTGGAATCAACGATGAGAGGGAAGAATGTCCTGCTGACGCCCGAACCAGCAAATAAGGCTGGTGCATTTAACACCAAAAGGAGCTCATCCGTGTCAGATTGGCGTTTCTGCCTCTCTTGGCCCTTTCGTTGGCTAACTGGCCGGACCCAGAATGCGCGAGAGCTGAAGCACGAAGATCCAGAGAAACGAGGGTCTGCTAGCTGGAGGTCGGCCGACGAGCTCGGTCTTATACTCTGCTTAGCAGGTGCCTGATAGGCGGCCCACATATCAAACGTCGATTATATTTATCAGCATACTTATATATCTAAGTATAGATATATAGATATATTCCGACAAATATAGAGTTGCCTCTGGGAGGCCGTCTCGTGTTTTCTCGTGTTGCTGAAGGCGAGACCAGGAAATGGGCTCGACACGGAGTAAAACTCGCCTCGGCGGGAGTTCAGCAGCCCGCGTGCTCAATGTATCTGGACAGGTGCTAATCTCGTCTTAGGCTGCTGTGTTTATATAGCTTGGGTTGCCCGATAGCGAAGGCCCAATATTATGAGCACACTTAGCTATCTATTCAGCACTGCACAGATATGGAGAAACGAGGCCAAAAAAGACGCCAGCCAACTGCTCACCTCAGCTGTGAGCTTTGTCGCGAGCGGAAAGTCAAGTGTGACAAGCTTGATCCATGCACGAATTGTGCGTCTGCGGGCGTGGTTTGTATCCCAGTACGACGGCCACGATTACCCCGAGGTGCCCATGTTCAGCGCATGCGAAGGATCTCACCTGAGGACCCCGAAGCCTCGATACAGGTCGATGTTCCTTCTTCTGCAGGTGCAGGTGCAGGCATTGCGGTTGTTGATGACCTCAAGGAACGAATTCGCAGGCTGGAGTCTTTGGTAGACAGCATGCGCTCACCTACTAGTCAGATCTCAAATCTGGTGAGTTTCGAGCAGTAACCTCCATAACACATCAATAAAATATCAGAAGGCTGATGAAGGGATTTTGAAACAAACAAGGATCAGCAATCTCGGGATATCATTGAATTAACTCCAAACGAGCTTGACGATGATAGCTCATCGACACACAACCAGGCAACAATTCACCTGGGTGATGGCAGCTTACGAGTATTGGGGTTAAGCGGACCATCTGGTCTGGACGTTGGATGGACCTCCATCATTAAAGACAAAGATATCTCAATACAACTGTGCCAGGTATATCTTCTAAATGTAGACCCCGTTATCAAAATTCTACATCGGCCGTCAGTCGAAAGATGGATGTTGCAGGGAGAACGATACCTAGGATTCTCTGAACGTCATTCTGCGGTCGACGCTCTGGGCGCAGCCATTTGCTACGCAGCAGCAACCAGTTTAACAGAAACACAGAGCTGGGCTCGTTTCCACGCAACCAAGTCCAGTATTGTTTCTCGCGCGAGGAGAGCATGCGAAGCAGCGTTAGAGAAGAGTAACCTGCTGGTATCTCCCGAGGTTACCACCCTGCAAGCGTTTGTATTATACCTTGTGAGTTTTCTAACACAGAATCATTAGCGCACGGATTTTCACTGAACATAATATTCTAATTTCCATGACAATTATCCAGGTTGCCAGGAGGTCAGAGGATCCAAGTCGTGCTGTATGGACATTGATGGCATTCGCAGTGCGAATCGCTAAAGCCCTTGATCTCCCTGGAGGCGCAGACGAGACCTTCTTTAGCCAACAGATGCGGAAGCGGCTTTGGCTCACGATCTGCTTACTGGATTTTCAGACCTCCTTAAGTCGGCCTTCTGAGCCTCTAATAAGTGTAGCTGAGGCTACATCATCCTTCGCTCCGCCTAAGCATATCAATGATTCTGATTTTGGCCCAAAAAGTTCTCACGATATCTCTGACCGGGAAGGGCTGACAGATACCACCTTTTCCATGGTGTCCTATCATGTCCAAGCTGCAGGCCGGCTCCTCAATTTCGAGTCATCGAGTACTGACAAAGAAATCCTGCAGCAACACGTTCAGCAGTTTGAGCAGAAGACACTCCGCCTTTTATTTTATTGCGATCCTGAATCCACACCGTATGCCTGGTTTACATGGCATCGAATCCAGTGCTTCGTCACTGGAGCAAGGCTTTCTGCTATCCGTCCGCTTCGGCATCAACACAGGGGAAGCACTGGCCACCTGATGCCATCACTAGACACAAACGGAAGCGCAAGCACTCTTTCCTTGGCATTGAATATTCTCGAGAAAGTGCAGCTCGTGCACACTGATCCACGTGGAGAAGGATTCCGCTGGTTTGTTACGGTTCCGTGGCAGCCACTTGCCGTTGCTATATCAGAATGTTACGTCTGCCAAGATAAAACTTTGATACAGCGCGCGTTGCCCATTGTGGAAGCGGCTTTTCAACAACACAAGGCTGCTGTATCAGGGACTAGTAAGGCAATCAGCACAACGTTGGAGAGACTCATGTGTCATGTTAGAGAAAAGCTATCGCCAACCTTGTGTACGAGCATCAGCTTAACCGCAAGCCCGGCCTTCGAGATTGCAAACATACCAAGCACATTGTCCGTGCCGCACACGCCTCCTTCGCGGTCTAGTATCACATCGAATGGGGATTTATTAAGTAACTGGCCCTGGCCAGCGCCAGACCTTCCGCATAATGGACCAGATATAGCTTCAGCGACTGAGGCGGCTCCGATTTCGACGTCACTGCAGAAGCTGGACCCGTTATTGCTTTCACTCGATAGCCAGCTTGTGATTGCTGGACAAGAGCCTTTAATGGAAAATGATCAGTCATGGGCAGCATGGGAAGAGGTGATAGCAGGCTTACATGACGGTGAAACTACCAGACCTAACATGTTTCTTTCCTGATGAACTCAAATATTACTATCAACGCACGCCCTGGGATCTAGGGAGTCAAAGTGGAAAATAGAAAAGGAAGAAAGACAAAAAGAGAATCAGCCCAAGAAAAGCTAGAGATTTTTAGTAAATGGCCTATGAGACATTAGAGTTGATATAGCGGCCTCGGAATGTACTTATATTATCTTAAAAATTCTGGTTCCGACGTTAGTACCGTTTCAACTTATACCCAAATCTGAACTGAAGGTGACTCGTTAAAAAGTTATTGAGTGCTAATGAATAAATATGTAAGGACTCAACAATCCACCTTTTTGTGCGTCGAAGTTTTAGTTACATGTTAATAACTTGTAGACTGCTCAAAAGGCCACAAAAGTATCACACTGCCCGTTTTGGTTAGTCTCGTAATCCCATGCAACCACGTTTTAGCTTCTTTTAACAAAGCTTGTTAAAGCTTGGCGTTAACTTCACTAAATTCCGAACTGGCGGTCGTATGTTGCTATATATAGAGTGGAACAAGAGGTAAAAGCCGAAGAGTTTCAAGCTCATATATACCTATGTACCATTCCACCCCATGTTACTTACCCATAAGAATTCGATATAGCTGGGCCTGCTATACAGTAAAACGTAATCGGCATTATCTTTCCCGTGGGCGTTAAAAAACTATATATATTCTTGGATGACGTATTGTTATAAAAGGCGATTCTCGTATTGACTCGGCTTTTGGCCGATGCATAACTCTCGGCTTTTGGCGTTGTTCAATACCCAAAAAACCGATCATTTTCAAATGATCCAGTCCTAAAATTCTTTATTGAAGTTTCCCTGCAACCGAGTGACAGATTCATTCCATCATTTACCTCCCTCGAAATATGGATCAATCATTGAGCGGCGGAGCCATGGGTGGTCGCCTGCCATTCAACCAATCTTTCTGGGAGGAGTTTCTCATGGGCCGTGAAGGTAGTCTGCCTAATCTGCCGGAAATATCCCATGTCAGCAAACGTGTTGTGCGTATACTCGGCGGAAACCCAGGTAGCATGCACCTCCAAGGCACAAATACCTATCTAGTTGGAACAGGCAGATCCCGCATCCTCATCGATACGGCACAGGTATGTAAACCATTCTACTTTTCTACGAACCCAGATAATTATCAGCTAGCTGATCTATAGCGAAAAGGGCCTCCCCGCCTGGATACATCGCATCTCCTCATTTCTTTTTACTCATAATATCGAGCTTTCTTACGTTCTTCTTACTCACTGGCATGGTGACCACACCGGTGGTGTCCCGGATTTGATTGCACATAACCCTTTACTCACGAACAAAATATATAAGAACAATCCGGATGCCGGCCAAAATACTATAACGGATGGGCAAATTTTCTCTGTGAATGGCGCGACGGTGCGTGCAGTTTTTACTCCTGGGCATTCGGTGGATCATATGTGCTTCGTGTTGGAGGAAGAAAACGCCCTTTTCACAGGGGATAATGTCCTAGGTCACGGATTCAGCGTTGCTCAAGATTTGGGGTGTTATATGGATAGCCTAAGGAATATGTCTGCATTAGCCTGCGGCCTCGGATATCCAGCGCATGGGGCAATTATTGAGAATCTACCGGGAAAGTTGGATGAATACATACAGCATAGGGAAGGGCGTGAGCGTATGATGCTATCTACGCTGACAAAAGAATTGGTCCAAGGCCAAGAACGACGGGGAGAAGGGACTAAAGGTGGGTTGACATTGAATGAAATTGTGATATCGATTTATGGACGACTACCGCAGGAGGTGATTGAGAAGGCCCTGGCGCCATCTTTACTACAGGTGCTGTGGAAATTGACTGAAGATCGAAGAGTGGGGTTTAAACCTGGGGATCCGCTGAAGCGACAGTGGTTTGCGTTAGAACAAAAAAAGCGAAGTAGGATGCGCGGGTGTCCTAGTTAACTAACTCAATCTAGATTGATCTCAGTTGAGTAGGGCTGGGATCTTTAGAACAATTTCATCTACTTGTGGTAGGCTCTACAATGCAAGGCAGAGGATATTCACAATATGTCAGTAAATGATGCGATTATATTATCGACGCGCTATGTTGTTCTTCTTTTCTTCTCTGCAATCTCTCTCCAGTCTGCCGCTGGTCGATGGAGTAGGAAGAAGCGCTGGGTTGACCTCCGAACAGCCTCCTGTGATCGTTTCCAGGCGCTAGAATAATAGCTAGCCACAGCCTTGCTCCAATAATCCTTTTCAGTACTAGCCATAGCCGTTACTATAGCATTAGATAGTTCGACACCGTCAAGGAGCGCATGGTTCCCTCCTTCGCCGCCAAAAATAGGCATCGCGTGCCACGAATCACCCACAAAGACAATACCTTTCTCACCAGCGCTCCGGGCATCATCTTGTGTCATATACACGCACCTAGTAGTCCAATGAAATACACGGTGGCTTTTGAGGGACTCTGGGTTCAAGAAGTGCTTCCAAGGTCCCGCTAAATCAAGTGCTCCCAACTCTTCGACAAGAGCTAGGGGAATCTTCTTTGCTTCCTCGGAGGGGAGATTGGGGCGATACAGCAAATCATTTCCTTCCTTAACAGTCCGTGAGTACGACCAGTCGAGATGGACATGAGACTTGCTCATATTGCAGATTGAGAGCGGGGTGTTAAACCGGTCGCCAACACCAACAAGAATATTGGAGTGCCCACTATAAGGTCTAATGAGCTCATCAAATTTGGTGCGGGAGAGCTGGAACTCGCCATGATAGTGGATTAAGGGTATCGTCTCGGGGACCACGCTGGGAAGAACCTGGGAGCGGACTGCCCACGGTCAGTGTATATTATTAATATCGTTATACAGTCGCCACCAGGAACCAACCACACAGCACATCACTTGGTGTTAAATAGGATCACATACCAGTAGAATTCACGCCGTCAGCGGCAATAATCAAAGACCCGTTGTACTTGGCTTTGTTTTCAAAAACAGCCGTGATGTTACCTGCTTTCCCCTCGACCCTTTGCAGTTTATGTCCGTATCGCACATCGAGCTCTTCATCTCCGCAATCTGCGATCCATTGGCGTAATGCATTACGGTTCGCACGCACAACTGTCTGCTTCGTTGTTGTGAGCTCTGGTGCGACTAATAACTCCCCAGTTCGGTTGTCCCTCAGCGCCTGGTCAATCCAACCGGTACCACCAATTACCCGGTCTGGTGCGACACCTTTGATCAGGCTACTCAGAGGGAGATCGCCCAGAGCAGACAGGAGAGTCGAGTATCCAAATTCTTGAAGGCTAATAGCAAATCCTTGACTGCGGTCTGGTGTTGATGCCTCAAAGACAATATTGGGAATGCCATTGTTTGTGAGGAGGCGGGAAGTTGTGAGGCCAGCGATGCCAGCTCCGATGATCAGAACTGTTCTCTGTTGCTTCGCCATGTTGAGCGCACTCTGAAATAATTTTTTCCTCTCTTTTTCGAGTGACAGTCATACCTTGACATGGCAATAATATGAGTATGCGTTTCTAAGTGATTCAACTCGAGGGGTCTAAAATCCGAGATAGGCGGAAGACTGGGAAATACATGCACGCTTCCGGGGTTTAGAAACGGCTTTTATGGGATTTGTGGAAACTACTCAATACGAGAGTGCGCTGATAAGGACATAAGCTTCTGGCCTCCCTCTTGTGCAGCATCCACTACCTTGTTTATTTGCTGCTCGTTGGTTGCTTAAGCCAAGGAACGGCTAATTTCTAAAAATAGAAAATGAAAACCTAACGAGACTCAACTTAATTTTGCTTAGTAATAATGCTTACTTCAACGTCGAAGAGTAGCGAGTCTTATTTGCCTTGACAATAAAAAGAAGATAAATGAATGTAAACTTTCATACTATCAGAGTTATACACCAAATAAACTTGAAAAAGACAATGCATCTACTCAAACGCACTCCGTCGCTGCCCATTAAGTTGCACTTCATGAGCGAAATAACGCTTATACACCTGTGGGTTAAAGTAAGAGGTGATATCTAGCTCGTTCTTCTTGACAGCTACCGAGTAGAACGCGAGAGCACCTTTCTGAGTTTCCAGCTCTTCAACCGGGGTGATATCCTGCAAGACGTTTAAGTACGCTTGTGGATTTTGCCCGCTACCATGATGCTCCAAATGGCGAACCACTGCCTTGGCTGCTGCGAGGTCACTTACAGGGCTGGTGCTCACATCGATGTATGCCTTGACATCTGGTAGTGCAAGCCGTGGCTGGATATCAAAATAGAAGGGAACGACGATGGGATTTTTGCTACCATCCGGTTTTGTCTGAGCCGGCAGCTGTTCAGACGAGGGGAGCTCTGCCGGAGCGCCCTTGAGCTCATACCAGAGTGTCTGAAGTTGGCTAAGGAGCTCTTTTGAGATTGGCCGCCGGCCTCCCAGAGTCATTATGGCGGAGATGTGGTCGAATGAAGTGTTGCGAGTGATAACATAAATTTTCACGCGCGTATCCTGGAGTTTGCAGCAATCAATTCCGGTGGTGCCCGTCAGAGTAAGTTGGCTTCCTTGTGGATCACTTGTCATAAAGTCACGGACAAGGTTGAGGCTGTCCAGGCAGACGTCCTCACCATAAGCATCGCGCATAGCTTGGGGGAGAATTGTGGTGAGGAGCTGGCTGGTTTGTGACGGGACTCGAGGATACATGTATGCCTTAATATCGATGGTACGAGAGTCTGGAGACATTTCTGCTCCAACAAGTAACGAAGCCCCGGCGAGCTTTTCCATGTCTGCCTTTTCGATAATACGCGGCCGGTAATGAGGCGCAAACGTCCAGAACAGCTCCAGGTCGACATTTGGCAGTGTCATGGCATAGTCTTGTAAGAGCGCTTTAGTTGCCACCTCGTTGAGTCGATCGGCCGGAGTGTTCGTCAGAGTTCCAAGGGGCTCGATAAAATTGCGAATATGGGGCTTTCTATCGGCAGTGCCAAATCGCCAACTGTAGTTGATCGGGCAGCCATCTGCGGCTCCTCCGCCCACACGGCTTTTATACCAGGGTATGTCGGAGTGTGGTCGAGGGCCCAGGCAAGGAACGACCTTGAAGCGATGGAAGAGGAGACATTCAACCTGGCGGTCTTCAGGGTAGCCTGCCTCATGCATCATGCGAGCCATATGCTGGCCAGTCAATCTCCACCAGAACTGCTCATCCTCGTTGGTGAGCGGGAGGAAACGAGAGACAGAGTCAAAGATAGGTAGGGAAGCCATGGTGATGTTAATCGACAATCAGAGGTTATTTTCCGGAATGAACAATTCTGACTCTGTTCGTCATGAGTATTATTAGTCCTTTATATCAGAATATGAAGCGTTGCTCGGCTTTTACACCGACACAGCTTCCGTCGGTCTTTGCGCACAGGCAACCCAATTTCTGCCTTCGGATTTTGGAATATTCGGCTTTTATGCCTATGTTTATTCCTGAATCTTTTAGTATCTACATCTACTTGGCCATTTCCATGGCTTTTTTAAAAGGTTCCACGGCATTGCTATATTTCAAACAGCAAGAACAATCATCACTATCGACAACGACATCATGGATTCAGCTTTACAGCGGGTAATTTTCTTCGGAAACGAGTTTCCCAGTGATGACTTGAAAGATCTCTTCCGCCGTCTGTATCAACATAGCAAAGACAGGCGATTCAGGTTACTGTCCGCATTCTTAGAGGAATCGACAACTGTTCTGAAAGATGAGATAGCGAAGCTCCCATGGCCCCTGAAGGAGTTGGTACCTCCTTTTAACTCTGTTCTGGATCTCGCCGACGTCGACTTTCGTCAAGGGCCTCTTGGAGCTGCCATGGAGAGCTCCATGCTAACCATTTTAGAACTGGGCATGTTTATTGGGTATGTCTGTGTCCATCAGTTATCTTCGTCGGTTTGTCATGTTAATCAACCTTGTATAAAATAGACATTATCAAGCTGAGGATGTAGAGTGGGACCTGATCCCAGAGAGAACTCTGCTCGCTGGCCTTAGCATTGGTATCCTGGCCGCCGCCGCTGTTGCTTTATCTAGCAGTTTAGCGGACGTTTCTAAGAATGGCGCAGAAGCTGTTCGAGTTTCTTTCCGGCTAGGTATCTACGTTGCCGATATCTCATCAAAACTGGAAACACCGCAATCAGACGGTACTCTCAAAAGCTGGGCTCACGTCGTCACGGAGATGACACAGGCGAGCGTCCAAGATGAGCTCAATCAGTTCAACACAGACACGCATAGCCCAGAACTGACCAAGGTCTTCATCAGTGCTGCAGACAAGACATCAGTTAGTGTGAGCGGGCCGCCATCCCGAGTCAAGGCAGCTTTCCAGCATTCTCCTATTTTGCGTTACTCCAAGTCGCTCCCGTTGCCAGTGTATGATGGCCTTTGCCACGCATCGCATCTATATACACGGAGCGATATAGATGCCATAATCAATTGCGCTGAGAGTGTCATTAAGCCCGACCGCTCTGTACGGTTGGCCTTACTTTCCTCTCAGACTGGCAAACCATTCGTTGCTAAAGCAGCAAGCGAGCTCTTCCTTGAAATTGGAACTGAGTTACTGACTGGTACTATCTATCTTGACAATGTTACTGCAGGCATTATAGAGCACTTTAAGCTCCAGTCAGAAGCAGCGACGAAATGCCGGATTGACTCTTTCCGTACTTCACTGGTTCTTCGTGGTATCCACTCCGCTGTGGAAGCCCATTTTGCCGAGGAGCAGCAACAATTCATCCGCTGCGACCTAGTGTGTTGGGTTCATAAGGACTTCGGGCCCCGTCAACCTCGCTCGCACGCCTCTTCGAAACTTGCCATTGTGGGTATGGCATGTCGACTGCCCGGGGGTGCTAATGATCTTGATCTTTTTTGGAAACTGCTGGAAGATGGCCGAGATACCCTTACGACAGTTCCTGTGGATCGCTTTGACCTAAACACTCATTATGATCCCACGGGGAAAACAGAAAATGCAACACAGACTCCATATGGCAACTTTATCGACCGTCCGGGCTATTTTGATGCAGGTTTCTTCAATATGTCACCAAGAGAGGTAGGATAATGCTACCCTTCTCATTGGTCACCCTCATTTCATTAAGACTGACCAAACCAGGCCGAGCAAACGGACCCCATGCAGAGACTTGCTCTTGTCACAGCATACGAAGCCATGGAAATGGCGGGTGTTGTTCCTGGCCGTACCCCTTCCACACACCCTAGCCGCATCGGCACATTCTACGGCCAGGCCAGTGATGACTGGAGAGAACTAAATGCATCACAAAATATCAGCACATACGCAGTTCCCGGTGGCGAACGTGCGTTTGCTAACGGGCGAATTAATTACTTCTTTAAGTTCTCTGGCCCGTCATTTAACCTTGACACAGCGTGTTCGAGTGGGCTTGCTGCTGTGCAGGCTGCTTGCTCTGCGTTGTGGGCCGGCGAGATTGATACTGCCATTGCTGGCGGCCTTAATGTCATAACAGATCCGGATAACTACTGCGGCCTTGGAAATGCCCACTTTCTTTCTAAGACGGGACAATGCAAGGTCTGGGACAAGGATGCAGACGGGTATTGCCGAGCTGACGGTATTGGTTCAGTTGTTATCAAACGACTCGAGGATGCTGAGGCTGATAATGATAATATCCTGGCTGTTGTCCTCGGTGCTTGTACAAATCACTCAGCAGAGGCTATCTCAATTACCCACCCGCACGCCGGAGCCCAAAAAGCTAATTATCGACAAGTGTTACACCAAGCTGGCGTTAATCCGATTGATGTTAGCTACATCGAGCTCCATGGTACAGGAACTCAGGCTGGGGATGCAGTTGAGTCTGAATCGGTGTCGGATATCTTTGCACCAGTGACACCTCGTCGTCGACCTGACCAGCGTCTCCATTTAGGGGCAGTGAAAAGTAACATCGGACATGGTGAAGCTGCAGCTGGTATTGCATCTCTACTGAAGGCTCTCCTTGTGTACCAGAAGAATATGATTCCCATGCATATTGGTATAAAAAGTGAGATCAATCCGACCATCCCTAAGGATCTTGAACGCCGGAACGTTGGGCTTGCTATGCAGAACACACCGTGGCCACGTGTAGAGGGTAAGAAGCGTCTTGCAGTGGTTAATTCATTCGGAGCACACGGAGGAAACACCACGTTGCTGCTGGAAGATGCGCCAGAAATGGTAAAGGCCCAGAACCCAGAGGACCGTATCACTCATTCGGTGCTTTTATCTGCGAAGAGCAAAAAATCGCTGCAAGCTAACATGGAAAGCCTTTTATCATACTTGGACCAACATCCGGAAACGAACCTAGCGGACCTGGCCTACACTACGTCTTCTCGTCGAATGCATCACAATATGCGTTTTGGTACGGCTGTTTCATGTATCCCAGCACTTCAGAAGGCCTTGCGATCTCAGCTTGACAACACTAATTTTGCTTCCGAAGTACGCCCTATTCCGAACGAGGCTCCTTCGGTTGTACTCGCTTTTACTGGCCAGGGCGCCTACTACAGTGGCATGGGTAGGGAACTTTTCTCTGAGTTTCCATATTTCCGTTCGCAGGTGCAGCAACTTGACCAACTGGCGCAACGGTTGGGCTTCCCATCTGTTGTGCCCGTAATTGATGGTAGCATCGAAGATAGTTCGAAATCGACGATTCTAACGCAACTAAGTGTCGTGATACTTGAAATTGCTTTGGCACGGTTCTGGTCCTTGCTAGGTGTGAGTATTAGTGCTGTTATCGGACACAGTCTCGGGGAATACGCCGCTCTTGCGGTTGCTGGCGTGATATCCGCTGCTGATGCCATCTACCTCGTCGGTCGACGGGCACGGCTGGTTGAGGAACGATGCACTCTAGGTAGCCACTCGATGCTCTCAGTTCGAGCATCAGAAGACGCTATTCAGCAAATGCTTGCTAGCGGACCTGACACTGCTGCAATTGAATACGAGGTTTCGTGCTGCAATACTAACCAGGACACAGTTATTGGAGGCCTTAAGGATGAAATTAACGATATCCGCAAGGCACTTGAAGCGAAGAGCATCAAATGTACACTCCTAGATGTCCCATATGCATTCCATACAGCACAAATGGACCCAATCCTGGATGATCTGGAGGCATTTGCAGCACATGTCCCATTCAATGCCCCAAGTATTCCAGTGCTATCACCTCTACTGGCCACCGCCATCTTTGACGTGAAGTCCCTTAACGCAAACTATTTACGTCGTGCTGCTAGGGAAACTGTTGATTTTGCGGCGGCCATTGAAGCTGCCCAAGATATGGGCCTTGTAGACTCCAAAACTGTCTGGATCGATGTTGGTCCTCATCCAATATGCGCAGGACTTGTGCGTGGTATGATCCCTTCAGTCTCGGTCGTCTCTTCCTGCCGACGGAATGAGGACAGCATAGCAACCATATGCAAGAGCCTTGTGACCCTCCATCTCGCAGGCCTAACGCCTTGCTGGGCGGAATTCTTTAAACCGCGTGAGTGCGAATACTCATTGTTACATCTGCCAAAGTACCGATGGAATGAAACCAATTACTGGATTCCGTACATTGGGACATGGACATTGGACAAGGCTCACCTCAAGCATGGGACAAAGCCAATGACACCGTTCTCGCTTTCTATGTCACGACCATCGGCGCTGCGAACGTCCTTAATCCACCAGATCACAGCGGAAACTATCGAGTCCACCACTGCCACACTCCATACGATATCCGACATGCAGCACCCTGACTTCCTTGAAGCTATACAAGGGCATACAATGAACAAATGTGGAGTCGCAACATCCGTAAGTCTGAGCCTTCATCATCTAATACCTGATACAAACCCTCAGCTAATTTAATTTTATAGTCTATTTGGTCCGACATGGCTTTTACTGTGGGCGAATATCTCTATCGTTTACTGATGCCTAATGTTAAGGATGTTCACATGAATCTCACTGATGTGGAAGTCTTGCATGCACAAGTCGCTAGCAAGACCAGGGGGAGCATTCAGCCTCTGGTGTTGCAAGCACACCTTGACCTGTCTACCAATTCCATGTGCCTCTCTTGGTTCAACGCTGACGGGGAGACTGGCGAGTGCGCAGCCGAGTCTTTCGCAACAGCGACGGTTCGCTTCGAGGACCCAGCTGCATGGAAGAAAGAATGGGCCAGGTTGGCACATTTAGTCCGAGGACGCATCGAAGCATTAGAGCAACGAGCAGTTGAAGGTAAAGCCAGTCGACTGTCTAAACCCCTGGCCTATGCTCTTTTCAAGAACGTAGTCGATTATGCAGATCGATACCGTGGCATGGATTCGGTTGTGCTGGATGAACTTGAGGCAATGGCTGAAGTGACACTCGTCCCAGAACGTCACGGCACTTGGCATACGCCGCCACATTGGATTGATAGTGTTTCCCACCTGGCAGGCCTGGTTATGAACGGTAGCGATGCATCCAACACCCGAGACTATTTCTTTGTGACACCGGGATGCGACAGCTTCCGGTTGCTGAACAAGCTAGAACCCGGTGCCCAATATCGCAGTTACGTCCGGATGTTCCCTCTGCTAGAGGACCCAAATATGCACGGCGGTGATGTTTACATACTCCAGGGAGAAGAAATTGTGGGTATGGTAGGCATGATTCGCTTCCGCCGCGTCCCTCGGCTGCTGATGGATCGATTCTTCTCGCCTCCCACCACAACCTCAGTTGTTGGACCCGCACCGCCAGTTGTGTCTGCAGCCACGAAGACCCATGGTATCACCCAGAGTGTTCCTGAGATCTCAGCCCCTTCACCATCCATCGTTGTCTCTGACTCAACTGCAAACAATACCCTAACCGACAAGCTTCCGGTCCCAGTGCCGCGCTTGGCATCATCCTCTGAGAGCTCAACGCCCAAAGAGTCTCCTATCGCGACACCCCCTGAATCAGAGAGTGCTGAGCCCCTGGGCAACACAGTATCACAGTGTCTACGACTGATGGCCCGCGAGACAGGACTAGAAGTAGAAGCGCTAACTGGAGACGCCAGCTTTGTGCAGCTGGGTGTCGACTCACTTATGTCCCTGGTATTATCAGAGAAATTCCGCGCTGAACTAGGAGTGGAGATTAAGAGCTCGCTCTTCCTTGAATGTCCAACAATTGGAGAGATGACAGCTTGGATAGAGGAATACTGTTAATTAGAGTAGGTAAATACCCCAGGGAGTCAATAGATGTACTTAAGTATACCATTCCTTCAATGCTTTCGTTTGCCCAATCTCTGCAATATCCACTAATCACGTATCGAAAAAGACATAAGACCATTGTCAAAACCTATACGCTGTCTGTTTTATGCTTCAAATCGAACAACGGCAACCTCCTTATACAAAGATTCTACAATGCTAGCATTTTTGAGGATTGAGTGCTCCTAAGGTATTCTTCTGCGAGCTATGCTTCCACAAGGCGTGCCTGAGTCCTTTGAAGGCCTAAGATTTAGGCTTCTTGATCGCCACCGTTAAGCTTAACATCAAGGTAAATTGGGTTGGGCTTTGACCGAGAAGCTTCGATACCTCTTGTGATAGTTAACGATTTTTTTTTTGGGTTGAAGCCCTCTGGCTGTTCAGTATGCCGATGTACGCCCCCGGCATGCCGCCATTTGGCATTTGGGAATCAAAAGCTACGGTAGTTAGCAGGCCAAAGGGCCTAATGCTAGTTTATTCCTACCTCAAAAGGCCCAAAAAAGACCTACAGGCTTGGCCATCGCGATGCTTAAGACTTTCAAAAGTGCCGTCGAATATGTTTGGGCGCCCAGTTAGCGATGTAACTTAACATGTTGAGATGGTGCTAAAAGTCAAGAAAGCTTCTTTTGATGGAGGGTGAAATCAATTGCGTTTTGACTACTACTACTACTACTAGATCGGATTCAGGGGTTTAGACGTCCTCCATTACCCTACTGTTAAAGATTCAATATGAGATGATATTATCTAGGTTAGAAATAAATAATGCCCTTATCGTAGGTCTGAGGATATTTGAACATATATTATCATTCCAATATCCAGCCTTGGCTTAACTAAGTATACATCCCACCAAGGCCAATGTTCCACCCAATGTTGCCATGGTAGTCAACGGCTAAGGAAACCGTATTCACAATACAGCCCACAGCTCCTAGAAGTGGTGGCTGTACTCCATCATTGACTTAGTTCGTGAAGTGTACGCCTAGGAAGCTGTACGAGGAAAGCAAACAACTGGATGTGACGTAGGCAATAACTTGAGCAATATCAAGGCGTGTTATGCGCCGTAGATGTACTAAAAAAGCTAGTTATAGCTTCGTCGGCCTTCATCCTCAAGTCTTCTGCTTATTTTCTGTCATGTTCGCGATTCCAGTCTTAGTCTCCGTATGCTCTTTGCTCATATGTCGCTGTTTAATGAAAGGGCTGGCCAATAGCCCAACTCCGGCAACTGCGGTGTACATTATGAACATGTTTCGCATACTGTAGGCATAAGCTTCCTGCACCGCCCGAGACTGCGCTGGGTCCTTAATTGTGGAGACTAGATCCACATTGGCAGCTGCATCATAGCCGGAGAAGGCATCAAGGTAGGCTGGGCTGAGGCCTGCGGTAACAAGGGATGTGTGTTTGGCAGTCATGCTATCCTGGAAAACGACACCACCAAGAACAATGGACAGTGACGTTGCAATGCTGCGGACAAAACCCAACGTCGAGGAGGCTACCGCAACATCAGCTTGATCGACATTATTTTGGATGGCAAGCATGGGTGTTGAAAGGAGAAGGGAAAGCCCGACACCACCAATAATCTCGAAACAGATAACTTTTGCAAGGGATGTGTCAATCCATAGTAAAACGTATAGCCCTGTCCCGAGGGTCAAGCATGCTGTCCCGGTCCAAATTATTTCTCGATAGCGACCCGTCCGATGGATTAAAACGCCGACTCCCAAGTCGCAAAGGGACGCGGCGATCATCATTGGTAGGATGAGAACACCACTTTTGGTAGGTGAGGCTTGCTGCACGCTTTGGAAGTATAGAGGCAGATAGTACTCTGAGCCTCGAGTCGCCATACTATGTGTGGCCGCAACAATGATGACGGCGTTGTTTGACCAGTCCTTGAAGATTCGTAGGTCCATTAAGGGGTACCTGGCGAGCCTTTTCTCTGCAAAGAGGAAGAAGTCGATCAGCGCCGTTCCAAATACGATCATGCAGATGACAGTTGGGCTGTTCCAGGGAAAAGTTACGCCGCCGAAGTCGAGGCCGAGTAGCAGTAGGACGACTATGGTTAGAATAGAGAAGGTGCCAATCCAGTCAATAGCCTTGATGCCGTCCCTGAGCTTCGTGTGTGGGTTATGCAAGTTAAGATAAAGCATCAAGGTGATGAATGAGGCGCCACAGACAGGGAGGTTGATCCAAAAGCACCAGCGCCAGCTCGCATATTGTGACAGTGCTCCTCCGATGACAGGACCGGTGGTCCCAGCGAGTACCCAGACGAGTGCAGTGGCGCTTATATATAGTGCTCGATGTCGCATGCTAAAGAGATCCGCGATTATTATATATACTAGCGATATAATCCCACCACCGGCCATACCCTGCACTGCTCTGCCCGCAATTAGCATCGCAATATTTGTAGCTGCCGCTGCGATGGTGCTACCAATAGCAAAGATGACGATTGCTCCCAAAAGGCCAGGCTTGCGGCCCCAGATATCACTAATCCTCACCCACATGGGATTGGTGGCACACATGGATAGTAAATATGCGGCACCGATCCATGTGTAGCCTGAAGCTGAGCGTAAATCTTTAGTTATAGAAGGGATAGCTGTGGCAACGATGGTTTGATCAAGCGCCGATAAGAAAAGGACGAGCTGGATACAGCAGTTCCATTAGCTTGCTGCTGGTCATGAAGAGCATAACGGGTATCGACATACACATAGCATAAGCATTATACTAAAGATACGCAGCTTTGAGCGACTTGGGAGGTTCTGGTCCTCGGACACATCGATTGTATTGTCAGGAGGACTCTCCGTCCTAGTGGACGCTCGCTTTTGGTCGACCATCGGCTCGCGAGCGAGGGCCGCTGGGGGTTCTGTAGAGGGCTTCACGGGTGAGACCTCCACCGATTCCCTGTCAACTTTGCGGTCCGTCATATTGGAAATCTGATTGTGCTTTCAATGCAAAGAGTGTCTGCGAGGGATATTGCACAGGCACCTCCGCAATGTTTGAAGATGTAGTTATGAAAGTGCTGGTCGGGCTTCTAGCAGCGAGATATGAGCGAGGCGCGCACCCATGTCCTTGTGTCTCCTATGTTATGTTGGTCCTCATCCTGCGCCCTTCCCCTGACGCGAGCTGAACCGAACCCCGAAGACAGTAACCCTCTCCTGGATATCGTTCAAAGATGGATGGTGTTTCGCTAGTTAGTGACATTATACCAAATGCTACGGTATATTACTTACTCTTGGTGTTCGGATGAGGTCCCATTTTTTGGAACTATTTTCTTGATATCCATGCTACCAAAAGCAGCGACTCGCGCCCCAGCCAGATCCCGAAATGTGTATTTAGTTCTAGATCAGAGGGAGTATCAAGATTTCGGCTAGGAGGCAGTCTTCTCTTGCGTTAACTTACTTAGTTGGTCTAAGTTTCATTTTCAATGTTGAAACGTATTGAACGATATAACTAGTTAGCGGCACCAACGATTTAACCACTCGAGGCGCTAGAGGGATTGGCTAATTAACTATGTTCTGGGAAAAGGGAAATACAATTGAACTCCATACGTAGGGGTATGTAGCAGGGAGTTACGGGTGTATGGTCCTCTTCCCTATTGACTCTGCATAATAAATGCACAATGCACAATATGCAAAGGGAACTACCAATCATTAGTTATCGGAATTAACGTTATGGAGTATTTCCATAGATTATATTCGCACGACCCACGATAAATAAAGACAATATATATTTACATATTAAATGGATAATGGGGTATCTAAGTTGTAGTCCTTCCATAGCCGTGCCCTGAATCAAACAGCGTAACTACCTTGACGGCTCGTATCATTTAGCTGACAGCTGGCCACCGATCTAGTTCTCCGCCCCTAACTATTCCTCCTGAAATATGCGCTGCGCTTAACGCTTCTTACAACCAAATTTCCTAATAGATTGTTGGTCATTCTTCACGATATGATAGCCTGGTTATTTGATCAACTATTCCAGGTCGAGGCTCTCGCGGTGAAAGTTCTAAATATTGGAATTTGATAAGCTTCAGAACGGCTTTGGGGATAATAGAGTAAGGACCTTCACGATCTACTCACCCCTTATTCTTCATCCACATCCCACACCTTAAAGGACTTGTATTCCACGTTGTGGCACTCATCGTTGTCCGTGTGCAATACGATGGTGTTTGGGTCACAATCCTCCGAACTGAAAAACACGGCATAGAAGTTGCTATCAATCTCCCCTGTACTCTTGACGATGACTGATTTAGCCGCGCCGGCCGACATGGTAGTGCAGTCCTGCCCGGGCCCGGCTACGTATAAGCCCAGTTGCTCGCTTCGGCAGTCGTTGCCCCTATAGAATCTGAATTCGAATCCTTGCGTGGTAAGGGGTAGGCCGGCAAGTGCCACCAAAGGGGTGAAAAGGGTTCGAGGACGCATAATTTACTAGCACAAGAGAAGGAGTATCGTCTTTATAGAAAATAGGATAATAGATAGATTTTCTGATGATCTCGGTCGACGTCCTTTTGTAAATAGGGGCTTTTTGAAGGATATAATTGCTGGAGATCGTGAGAGTTATTGTCACATCTGAAAACACAACGACAGTCAGAAGGCCTTCTGCCCATGTAGAATGTGTCCATCTCAGCGTGTTTAATAGAGTAGAGCGTCGGTATATCGGAAGACTCGAGATCACCAGCGATATCCCTGAACTAACAGGCAAATTGGGGCGGGTTTTGGGGCCGGCGTCGTTAACTAACTAGTTATTTGTTCTAACATAACTAAGACTGTGATGCGCGTAGTAATCATCACCATTGGCGTAGTGATCCATGTAGTTACGTACAAATCAGATCGCGACGTTCCGTAGCTTTTGGCGAGATGTATCCCATCTATATTTAGGCTGCACACTTAACTAATTATCCCTAAGAAGTTGGCCCTAAACTAGGGGTTATCACAGGGGGCAGTGTCGCCCCCAAAAGCTCACCCCCTGCACACCGAGCCCCAATGCAGGTTTATCTGCACTGCTATTTGTAATTTTTCATAGTGACAGTTTCATCTATATTTCAAGATATCCTGATTCAGATCCTTTCTCTCGCCGTTCGGTATGAAAGCAAACGAAGGCACCGTTAATAATTCACACTGCTACGCTGTCGTAGCTGTTGGTAACCCATGCTGCTATCAAAGAATCGTACATAATGGTACATACATCAATCAACATGATTATGCCTTACCCCAGCATCGGTTTCACGTTAGTGGGCGGCTTGATTACTGAAACTTACACATAAGCTACTCCCGTGTTTTGTGGTCAAGGTCGCTTGCCTTTAAACAAAGGCTGCAGTTGTATATGTTATCGAGCTCGCATCTTTAGGCACTAGATCACCATATCAGTGGATTTTAGGGGCTCTGGAGATGCGGCTAGGGAGTAATCATTCGCAGCGTAAGGTCAGGTGGTCGAGGTCGTTGAAACACAGGATAGCAAATAATCCTCACATCCAACTGCGTTCGTGTTATGAATTTTTGATTAGTAGCAGGATGAGCACAGCGTTACAACGCAAATATGATAACTACTCCTGTGAGCGCATATATGTTTCGGGTTAGATGCTCCTCTCCATGCTCAATGTTGGATTACGGAAGACATGAAATATATTCTACTTATACCCATGACTCGAGATCCTAAAGTTGAACTTATCAAGATCTTAAAGAAGGCTTGAGCTCACTAACAATTCAAGTCCTCTCGTTGAACTCCTTTATATTTTTCGAGAATGCATATCCCAAAATCATGGAAGGCAGTCTTCATCCTGCTCAACCATGGCTTTATGCTCATCTCCCCTGCAATCGCTTCTGGGAATATCCCTCCGCCCATGGCAAAGCATAGCCTCGTCTTTGGTGTATCCTTGGATGGTATCCAAGGAGAACAGTCTTCCGTCAATCCCGACCTTGTATTGCGAGCAGCTCCACCAAAGAAAGACGAGAAAAAATGCGACCGATGCCGACCACGATGCAAGCGAATGATGATTCATGACCGCAAAGATTGCACGAAATGCAACCGATGCCCGCCCAAGACGCACCCTGATCCGAAGCAGAAGAAGTGCCTTCCCGACAGCAAAGAAGATAAGAAGAAGAAATTCGAGGACAAGAAGGGTAGGGAAAAGCGAGATTATGACTTCAAGAAGAACTATCACAAGTTCCGGCCCAAGCCACTCAGATTTCAGAGGAAGTTGTCTGTCGAGAGGAGGAAACATAAGGAGCTTTTGGATATTAAGCGAGATACGCTCAATCGCATGAAAGTGCGCCGCCTCGGGAGATGTGCCCTCCTCACCCCCTTGGCCATAGGCGGAGAAGCAATCGAAAAGTACACCACTGGCTTTTTTGACGAAAGCTTCATGGAAAGCATGCAGCTCCTCGACCTCTGGCCTGAGGAACTGAAAAATGCTGATCCAGAATACCTGAGCAAGCACATATTTACGGACGAATATCTCGATCTGTATGTGGACTTTGCGGAAGAACACTATACCAAGAGGTCCATCGATTACGCCGCCCCAGAAAGCCAGGTGCAACGCGACGATGAACAAGAGATGGGGCTCATTATCAGCCCATCCACACGAGATCTTTCCATTCGTTCCATCGGGGCCATCGATATCGACCGTCGGTGTGGATTTTTGTGTTTTCTCATACCCATCGCCCGACTCATTGCACAATTGGTTTTGCGAGTTGCCTCTCGGGCTGCTGCCAGAGCAGCCAAGTCCGCTGCCACCAGAGTTAGCAAAATCCTCAAAGATATCTCGAAGAACCTCAAGCTTACCAAGGGCAAAGGGGATAAGTCTTTTCGGGAGCAGAAGGATGCGGCAAGAGATATATCAAAGAACCGGAATTGGATGAAATGCCTTCGCGGAGAGAAACCGACGAAGTGATAACTAGTTAGTTAGTTACTCCTGGGTGTGTTTGGTTTGCGCACGATGATTAGGTACTTGTAGCTGTTTCCCCTATATAATTGCATAGAGTAACGAAAGCCCTGTTTTTAAAGTCAGATATCTTGTTCAAGATGTGTATCTCTAGTCGCATCAGGCTTTAAACCACGCTTGTTTACTTAGTTACCCCTTTCTTATCTTCTGTTACCCCTTTTATCTAACTCCCGCGCCCTGCCTAGCCTCTAGTTGAAGTACAACCCTAACCCTAACACAAGACCGGAAAGATTTAAGGGATGGCAATTAAGGATATTCATTAAGTATACACACGTTGTGGCAGAGGATAATATACACGCAAAACAGAGGGGCCGTCTTTCCAGTTATTTAACTAGATATCGAACACTCGACACTAAAACAGTGCTAAAACGGCTGTCTATTTGGGTCGGTGGTCATATCGCACGGCCAGATCTCCGTGCCGTCGCCCTTGGGTTCATCTCCAGCTACTTTCACCCACCAAGCGAGCACCTTGGTCACGTCTGGGTTCTTCTTAAGCGCCGGCCACTCGTATACAGTCCAGGCGTTGGGCCTAACACTGGGCGAATAGTTCTCTGGAAATACCACTCGCACAATGCCGCTTGCACGCTCAGCGAATGCTTGCGACACTTGGCCTATCGCAATGTCCTTCTCGTCGTCGTCCCAGGTCTCTTTGTCCTCGATAAACAACTGTGCTGATTCCGCGAACGGGCCGCCTTCCATGCTCATCACTTTCTCGCCATTGTCGGTATCCGAAAGTCCCTGACCATTAAACCGTTGAATGAGGTGAAGTGCTGAGAAGAGGGTGTTTGCTGTATAAAATATGGCTTTGTCCTTATGCGGCGTTCCAGGCTTCATCTTTGTCTTTGCGTACTCTGTCGTTGGGAGAGGAGGGTTGCGAACGCGTTTTCCCAGCCGGTGATCATGATGATGACGATGGTGACGATGGTGAAGAAGATGATGATGATGATGGCGTGTAGGTATAGATGTGAAATTGTCTGACGACGGTAGAGCGAAGACTGGCAGCCATTGTAAACAGAGACAGGCAAACAGGATGAGAGACAAATAGGCCCGTGGAATCTGGGGCCGTCTCATCGTGACTCGCATTATCTTCAAATAACTAACTGATAGAGGGAATGATAGTAGTAAAGAGGCTTATTGAGTGTGCTATTCAGTTGAAACTACTACCGAATCATATACGACCTCTTGATGGCCGTGAGCTCTTTACTTATACCACTATCTATGATATCTTAAGTCGACATGGGAATGCCATCCTCCGCACTCTTACCACCGTTACAATATCTCTCTGCCTGATTATTGAGTAGTTACGCAGTGCCGGGCTGTATAGTTAGTTATATGTTGCTGTTAGTCAGGTCTCCCTCATGTTTTAGGATTCGTCACAGCTCATTAATGTCATCATTATGATTCCCAATCGACTGATATCTTTTTTCTGTTGGCTGCACTTATAAATGCTTAATCAAGCGTGCCTTTGAGTTAGATTAATGATTTCTAAGTAGCGACATAGTTACTCCGGACTAGATTATTCATCTACACGCATCAAGAGTCCTCGAGTCCTTGGACAACATATAACCAAGTTCTTGTTTGATCAGGCTTGTTTTCCCATCTCCTCCTAATCATTCTCAGGAGACCATATATTGCTGACACCTTTGCTCTGTCCGGTCGTTCGGCTCTCTTGCATATGGAAACCTTTCATGGCGAACGACTTATTCCCGACCTAGGATACCATATCTGTTAACTATCAAATCTTTTACGAGCTATGAAGCAATCTCGTACAATTTGCCATCTTCCTCGATGTTACACTCCACCACCTCAGCCTATTACTGATGCTGCGCTCGATGCTGCGCGCGCCGGTGAGGTGGAGGAGCTTGCCAGCCTGGTCAGAGATTACCCCAACCTTGCACACTCCATATACCTGAACCGGGCAGCCATATCAGGCAAAGGAGACATTGCTATATACCAGGTGCTGATAGATGGAGGCTGCAATATCAATATTTCGTTTGGATACACCGGCTCTCCTCTGATAAAGGCCATCTACCATAACAAATTTGCGTTGGCTCGGCATCTGCTCAGCCTGGGGGCGAACCCAAATGTCAACAACTTGGGCGTCACCTTGGGCCCCTTGGGGGTTGCCGTTACCTACAGGCCTGGTTTTGTGGTTGACCTCCTTGATGCAGGGGCAGTCATTCAGAATACGGGAGCACTCCATATTGCAGCAAGGAAAGGCGACCTGGAAACCATGCAGCTACTACTGGACCGAGGAGCCGACGTCAATGAGGTTGTCAAGCGTCCAATAAACATCTCGGTTGGATACCACGGAAGACGCCCTCCTATGCACCGAGCTGTCCAAGGAGGCCATCTTGAAGCAGTAATGCTACTTTTGCAATACCCGGTTCGCCTAGATATCGTTGACGAGGATGGCCGGACAGCCATCGACCAGGCGAAAGTGTGTGGGTTTGAAGCTGCTGAGGACGCTCTAAAGAGACACGAAGGTAGCAAATAGTTATACATAGTAAACACTTCATCAAATAGTAGTTATTGAACTAAAAAGCAACGCTACTTAGCAGCAGCAGAATAATGAGAATACTCCGTATGGAGTACATTCTGACCATTTATGTGGTATTGCTGGCGAAAAACGATGATGAAAATGGTGGATAGCTGATCCTTCAACGCGACCCATGTCCTCGATACGAAACCCAAATCCTTCAAGCAGCAGAAATTTCCCGTTGATGCCCACAGACAGCTTCGTTTGTCTCTTGGCTCTGTGAAGCAGCCATCGAGAATCGACAATGCAGTCTCTCAGGCCGCGTCGGACGTCATGACAGCAGTCATGCCATACACCATCAGGACACAGCGCGGGAAGAATCGGTGGAAGGGTGGAAAGGAGGCTGAATCAATTACGAGACAGGCTGCATCTCGAGAGCCTCCTTACAACTCGTTTAAGCAAGAGATGGACTGATACCAACGGGGCCGATACTGTATAACCTGTCATGCATGCAAGGCTGGCCCTGGCTCGATCCAGGGCACCAATTGACGGTTGAGATGAACGAGAGCCCGGGGGGGAAAGCCCCTTGCGATGAGAGAGCTCGAGCTTCTCAGGTGTAGCAGCAGAAACTAGTTAGGGATATAAATTTCCATGCTTCACCCTCTACCATGGGACCTCTTCGAGTTTTTGTTTGTTTCTCTTACAGATGCGGGGGGGGGAAATCACCCCTTGGTATAGTTATCGACATCTATGCAGTACGCGATCCGTTTTAATGAAGCGCCCCAGCGAATAATAAACGAGTCAAGAATAAGGATATTTATATCAGGAATACCCAGGCCGGACATATCAACACTGTCTGCACCAACGGCTTTACGACGTAAACCTCCGCCATGGCTCCGAAGGAAACTGTGGGTGGTTCTTCTATTCAGCTTCTTTCCACAGTGCCAAAGGGCAGTCCGGATCCGTCCTTCACGGATTCAAATTCCCCCGCGAGAGGATACCCCTTGCGTCGATTTTGGTTCCGTACCTCCGTCTTGCTCCTAGGCCCGGTCATCATTTTCATCTACTTTTTAATGATCTGGCTTTTCTTCTTCAGAGACACCGACACTGTTAAATACCGATCTCGCGAGGGAACATGGGTTTACTATTCTTGGTTCGTGACCGGTGTCTTCGGTCTGAACATTTCACGATATGGTCTTGTTGGCGTCGAAGCTGCCATGTTGCAGGAGCCCTTTTGGGGGCCAAAAAGTGCAATGGGGCTCCTGATGCATAGCGGGAGCACCTGGGCCGGGCCAGGAGGATGGATGAAGTGCATACAACGCGCTATTTCCATGGAAAGGAATCTCGCAGGTCGACTATGGTATGTTCTTGCTGTGCTAAGTTTAGTGCCTTTAGTCGCATTCCCGATTTCTGGTTTGTCTATGGAACTCGCAGATGGATATATCGCATCGTCAGCGCCGCCGATGGTCGTGGGCCGTGAATGGAGCAACTTCCATCGCCGCGAACCTGATCAAACTAAGAAGCGAGGCGGGACAGTTTGGAGAACGGCATCCGCAGTGATTCCGGGCATTGGTATTGCTTACAGTCCTCCACAGGTCGATCGGGAGAAGTTCGAGTTTCTAACAACGCTACCAAACTCCCTTTCCTTTGACCCCGGAATTCCCGAACTCTTCCTTGGGCCGCAGGCGACGACGCCTATCGGCGGTAAGGCTTGGGGACTTCGGCTGCAGTATAACTGCTCGATGGTCCAGTCAGCCTCAGAGTTTACAATTCTTTCCCAGAAATCTTCAGCCCTGAAGCCCAATAACTCTGGTGTGATAGACGATGATTCTAGATATAAACCTAGATATAAAACCCTCCAGACACCTTCCGGCGCAACCATCACCTTCTTCAACAGCACTCAGGCGATTGGTGGAAATAATCTTTGGGCATACGCCGAAATGGGAGTGAGCCATGACTTCGTTTCGTCCACGTACGATGGTTCAGAGCCTAGTTTCGAATCTGGCGAGCCTGAGATCCTGGAATATGCGCTATGGCAGGTCCGACGTCCCTGTTCGTACGACGGAGACGACAGAATAACTTTCAATTATACTCTCAAACCTTCCATTGCTGGCATGGGCAGTCCTATCATACAGAATCCCAGTGGAAAATTCGAGCGTAATGCCTCCTTCTTCGACTGGTCAAATGGCACAAGTACTGATACGAAGGACTTTGTCTCCTTCGTCGCTTACGAGAGCTTCCAAGAAAATATCACACTGGCTCCCCCTATTGGAGTCCAATGCCGTCGTATCTCAGATCTCGGGACAGCCAAACTGGACTCCCGAACAAGCACCTTCAGCGAGTTTGAAAAGTCTCCTAGCCCAATATGGTCAGCGGCCGAATATGAGGCCAAGCAACCTCGATTTGGTGCCACAGCAATATCCATTTTGCTGGGCCGCTATACCGAAATCTTCGAGTCAACCAAATCACCCCTCCCCTATATCCTTTCTAACTCGGCCTGCTATGATCATTTTGTACAGCCACAAGTTCTATTACAGTCGGTTTTACAAGCCCACGCTGTTGATGCCTTGCAACTCATGTATGACGGTGCTACAGGATTAAATGGTGGCTATGTCAACACGAACTTGACATCGTCTCGCCGTGGGAAAGTTCTAGAACCCGGCGTCGTTCCACCGTTGGTTTCGACTTTACTTTTGGGAATTTGGGCCACTGGATGCATTGTCTTGGGCGTGATGTATGGCTTCCGCCGTCGCTGGTCTGACACACTGGATGGGTACAGTTTGTTCCGCTTCGGAGTAGGCTTTGGTGAGGAACTTCGTAATAAGAACGCCCTATCCAGTACCCAGGGGCTAGAGAAGAGCGACCGGCTGTGGTCACTTCCAGGAATGATTGGTGATTCGAGAATGCAATTTGATATCGGCCATATCAGTCTAGTCGGGAAGGACCAGGCCGTCAACCCAAGTAAACTATACACCTGAAATGAGATAAATATCAACTATATATAGGAATACGCTATTTATCCCCTCCTCTCTTAAAGTATATATTGTTAGAGGGTAATACTAAGTTAAATCTCCATAGTTCAGTGAATCAAACTGACTCTAACGGTTGAAGTGAAGAAGATAGGTGCTCCCTAAAAGTCCTTGAATTTCTAGCATTGATAGCTTAGGAATGGGTTTTGATACTGGACAAGGAATGGGCACTCTTAGGAGACCTATTTGGTGGGTTATTGTATTTAAGCACGTCGCTTGCTAATAGCGTTTCAAGTGATTTTCGTACCGCTAGTTAGTAAATACTCCGTAGTTAATTTGCTTTGACTAACGTGATCCACTATTGGATAACTACCACTAATTAATAATCACCTACTAAAAACAGCGCCAAATCTCTATTAGGCTCTTATTCGATTGAATATCTTAATAGCCACCTAGTTAAATAAGTAAATGTAGTATATTTAACGATAGCTAAGTTTTAAATTATATATAAATTTATTAGATTAGAAAAATAAATAAGTATTTAGCTTAATTATATAACCGCTTCGGCTTAGCTTAAATAGGGATAAGTAACTAGGAATAGAAGGAGTAGGAGGAGTAGGAGTAGGCCCTTTAGTAGGCTGCTTTTTTTTACCTAATTTAGAAGGTAAAGAAGGAGCTTTTATCTAGCTCTATGCCTTTTAAGCCTCTTTTATAAGCCTCTAGGCCTCTTTTTTACCTACCTTATACTACTATTTCTACTTACACTAGGCTTTAGCTATAGCTTTAATCTATTCCTTCTCTTCTTACTTTTACTACTACTCTATAAGTGTTATAGACTATCTGTGGCGCAGCCTAGATAAATATATTTATTAAATAATAAGGTTCTGGCATAGAAGAATCCTATAAATTATATAATAATAAAATAGTCTAAAATACTAAGATTAGAATAGTCTAATATAGACTATAACTAAATAGTCTAAAATAGACTATAGGAGAATAGTTTATTATAGACTATAACTAAATAGGAAGAAATAGACCTTTAGGATATATATATAAAGATATTTATTTTATACCTTAATTAAGAGCTATCCCTAATATTTAAGATTAAAGCTAATTTTATAGTAAGCTATAGCTAGGCTTGTACCCCCGACCCCGCCGACCCTCCCCCACCCCGACCCAAGGGGGGAAATGGGGGGGGGGTAGGGGGTAATGTTAGACCTCTGGTACTGGGCGGTATCAGAGGTTGGTTCTCCCGTACTTGTTGGGAGAGACTGCAATGGTCCTCGATGACGGATGGGGGAATACTGTAGGGGTCCTGTTGTAACAAGACT